TTAGAATAAAACAATTTATCAATTTTTGTTGCTATCTACATCATTGATCTTATCTTATTTACAAATATTCTGCTGTATTCAAATTCAATGTTCTGGACTGGACAGTCACCTGTTGTGCACTGAAGCTAGACTAATCATAGCCCACTCAGTCACTTACATCAACTCACACTCATGAGGTCAATGCTATGGCATTATATTTGCTTCTTTATTCATTAAATTCAAATATATTCGATATATGAAATATTTATATTCGCTAAATCATTTTTCCATTCGGTAAAAACGTTTATATGTTTGTTACAGCAAATGAAGTTTTCAAAATAGCCAATCACTTAATACTATGCATTAAATTACATATTTCATTCGCTAAATGATATGTTTTTTGAGTAAATAGTTATGGTATTCCCTATAACACATTATATGCACAATACTGAATTTCTATTTGAACCCTACCGAAATAATTTTGCCTATATTTACCGAATGGTTTATTTTTCTATGACATAGTTAATGCATTTTACCGAAACCTAATTTGCTATTTACCGAATGCAATAAAGTAATATTCGATAACTTTCGTTGTTAACATCGTTCAAATATATCACGTGACTGAAAGTCTCGTAAAGTATCGAACAATAACGACATTTATCGAATGTGGCATTCGGTATTTACCGAATATAAATAATTTAAACACCGAATGTACAAATAATTAATTGAACTATACGTGAGTTAAGGAAAACAAATTGATTCGCTGCATCACACAAATACATGTATAAATATCAAATGTGAATGCCAACACAAAGAACAAGTGAAACTCTTTAGCGAATATAATTTTTATAGATTATTACATTCGATAAAATAAAAAAAACATTCGATAGATTGGGTAAAGATTTGGTAAATTGTTTGTTTTATTTGGTATTTATGGAATATTTAATGTACCGAATTAAGAAGCAGTTTAAACACCATACAATGCAACCAACTCTTTTTGTTGTTACAATTAATTGGCTATATAACAACAAATTTTAACCAATAAGAGCCAGGGTCATTGTGAGCCTGGTTGAAGTTTGCAAAATTCACAGTTTGAATAGTCAATACAAAAGAAATCACATTTTTCCGGATTAAAGACCTTTTAACTGTAATATAATAGACCCTTTTCCTGTGATAAGAGTCTGTGTGATTTAAGTAAGATAAAGCATTCGAATTCGATTTAATAAGAAATAATAACCTCAGGCCTTCGGCCTTCGGTGTATTATTTCTTATAAAACTTCATTCTTATGCTTTATCTAGTACAGAAAACACTTCGTGTAGTGTTTATCAGATGTATTGAGTTGACCAAAATACTCATTTGTTACTACATACTGGACTACATACTGGCACCCTTACATGTTACTGTACATATTTTAGACTTGAATTAGCCCATAAGAGCTTTGCAAAATCAACATCTAATACTGGAGAGGTTAAGCTAACGATGTTTTTCACAACGTAACCGTGAACGCAAAGTACAACAATTAACAAAGGAATGTATCGAGCGCTCATAGTTTTATGCGCGCTTAGTCTACTTCAGATACTCTTTCAGCTTCATAGTTTCGGGTTTAGAACGGGAGATTTTGAAATTTGACGTTGGGTCAACGGGAACCATTTTACTCGTGTCTATTGAACACTATGCTGTCAATTTTGATTTCGATGCACAGTTGAATTCTTGCTGAACACGATGATGTATGTCATGCATGATTTAGCGCCAAAAATCTTACGAAACGAGCTCGTTTAAAATATGTATTAGAAAACCAGCTATAAAACCGCATCAATGGCATACTATAGAATCATTACACGCTATGGTGTAGTCTAAACAAACACTGGATTTGAACGGCTATTTATATGAGAAGGCTACATGAATTTGTATATGGTCGAGTGATACGTACAGGTTCAGTTTCGATTATATATGCAAAGCTTAACCTCTCAACTATCAACGTAATAGACGGATTGCCCAACCTTACAGGCAAACTATTATAGACAAATTTGAAGATAAGACTGATATTGTCACATTGAATTATGATAATAAGTAAATAACATTTTGTAATATTTTACACAGGGTTAACATTACCATGCCCAGTAGAATAATACACAGGGTTACCCTAAATTGTAGAAACATTATTGAATATGTTTCTAACTTATAATTAATTAATTCATATATCCCAAGGATTTCACCCGTTCCCTTCCTGACCAATAGTCTACAAACCTTGTTTTATTTTTGATTTTTTACAATAAAATAAACTACTCTATCATTTTTATTGACGTGAGAACTCATATGATCAATGAGAAAACAATGCTAAACTTGCACTCTGAAATAGGTATTCAGCAGGCCTAGGAAAATATGGCTAGAAAAAGAAGCTACACCTAAGGGCTACAGGTGGACAAATTATTCCCCCTGAAAAGTATTTTAAGGGTCAGATCACTAAATTCATGATTACATTGAAAAGCTTTGAATGCTAATTTTCAAGAATTGATGTATTACTGGTGATTCAGATAATATACAAACGATAATTTTCGACTACAGAGCACGCTGCTGTAATATTCTATTGTATTATATTTTGATAAACAAATAACTTAGAGTCGAACACATTTTATAAAAAATCATCTTAGGTTCCATGAATTTCTATCTTAAACTATGTCAAGTGAGACATTTAGAGCTGAATATCGCTCTATAACAACTCATTGCGGGCGCAAGGCAGCTTGGAGATAAAATAACTAGATCAAGCATCACAGTGACACTTAGACTCGATGATGGTTAAGTTCAAACTAGAAAGGGGCATTTGAACAGTCACCTTGTGTGCTGTTTTATCGACAACATAGCTTCACACTAGTATGCATATTGCTGGTTGAAGACAGAAAGATGTGATGAGTATCAGAATGCATGCTATATCGACGAGAGAATCAATTGCATAGATCGTACTTTTAATGATGGTCATTTTGCAACTGACAAGCGATCATCTGATTGATGCTGGGACAATCCGTCTTGCCAAAAGCATGAAGCTTATGACCAACAGCTCGGACATCAAAATTCTAATGAAAAATTGCAAGCCTCCCCGGAATCAGCTGAAGGATAGGACCTGTTTTTCCGTTTTAAAGCTGAAAGTGACTTTCAGAGACTTCAGAGGCTGAAATTGGGGATTTCGAGAAATACTTTTCAAGGAAATAGTCTTACCTTTCTATTAGGATGGATCCAGGTGCCAAAAATAGCTGATCCATGAATATATATCATTTTGAAAATTGGAAGCAAGAATTTTGTTTTGGAGGCTATGTTTTGTGTCAGTCATGACAGGAAATAGATTCTCAAAATGAAAACTGAATTAACAGTATTAATTCTGAATTTGACTTGGAATATTTACTCAGATATGTATTCTGATATTATTAGCATGATTATTGACTACTATTTAATAATTCAGTGTGGTGTAGAGGATTTTTTTTTCTAAAATTAACAATGAATCCTAAAAAATGCATCCTGAAAGTCTTAGGCTTATGGCAGATTGGTTAGGGCATCAGACTTGCCACCATGATTTTGCAGGTTCAAATCCCGGCCATGGCAAGTCATGTTTTCTTTTTTTCTTTATTTCTGACCCACAATATTTTTTTTATCTCATTTTTATAGCACAGTGTCATATTTATTACTTTATTACACATCGAGCCTACAATTTCATCTTCATGAAAAGAAGAAATGGTACCTAATATGATGCGAGTTAATCGATATTTCAAATAGGGTGTCTACAAAACTAAGACCTAAGACCTACAAAACTAAGACCCCCCACGTAATAAAACTAAGACCCTGTTATAAAACTAAGACCCCCGACGTAATAAAACTAAGACCCTGTTATAAAACTAAGACCCCCCACGTAATAAAACTAAGACCCTGTTATAAAACTAAGACCCCCCACGTAATAAAACTAAGACTCTGTTATAAAACTAAGACCCCCCACGTAATAAAACTAAGACCCTGTTATAAAACTAAGACCCCCCACGTAACAGGGTCTTAGTTTTATTACGTGGGGTCTTAGTTTTATAACAGGGTCTTAGTTTTATTACGCGGGGGTTCTTAGTTTTATAACAGGGTCTTAGTTTTATAACGTGGGGGGTCTTAGTTTTATAACGTGGGGGGTCTTAGTTTTATAACGTGGGGGGTCTTAGTTTTATAACATGGTCTTAGTTTTATTACGTGGGGGGTCTTAGTTGTATAACAGGGTCTTAGTTTTATTACGTGGGGGGTCTTAGTTTTATAACAGGGTCTTAGTTTTATTACGTGGGGGGTCTTAGTTGTATAACAGGGTCTTAGTTTTATTACGTGGGGGGTCTTAGTTTTATAACATGGTCTTAGTTTTATTACGTGGGGGGTCTTAGTTTTATAACATGGTCTTAGTTTTATTACGTGGGGGGTCTTAGTTTTATTACGTGGGGGGTCTTAGTTGTATAACAGGGTCTTAGTTTTATTACGTGGGGGGTCTTAGTTTTATAACATGGTCTTAGTTTTATTACGTGGGGGGTCTTAGTTGTATAACAGGGTCTTAGTTTTATTACGTGGGGGGTCTTAGTTTTATAACAGGGTCTTAGTTTTATTACGTGGGGGGTCTTAGTTTTATAACAGGGTCTTAGTTTTATTACGTGGGGGGTCTTAGTTTTATAACAGGGTCTTAGTTTTATAACGTGGGGGTCTTAGTTTTATAACAGGGTCTTAGTTTTATTACGTGGGGGGTCTTAGTTTTATAACATGGTCTTAGTTTTATTACGTGGGGGGTCTTAGTTGTATAACAGGGTCTTAGTTTTATTACGTGGGGGGTCTTAGTTTTATAACAGGGTCTTAGTTTTATTACGTGGGGGGTCTTAGTTTTATAACAGGGTCTTAGTTTTATTACGTGGGGGGTCTTAGTTTTGTAGGTCTTAGGTCTTAGTTTTGTAGACACCCATTTCAAATACCTGTTGTTCATGGCGATACATATATTGTAAATATTTTTTATTTGCAGGGCTCAGAACTCAAATCCCGAAGCAAATCAGACTGCATCCAGTTTATGACTTGAAGAAACATAACATATCTGCCGGATATTGACGAGACTGATATAAGCAGACAAAATTCAATTTCAGAAAATCAAGGTATGGGGTGGACATTAATAGCTTAAATTTAGCTGTATTTGTAATAAAGATAAAATGCCATTGCCAATATAATTCTGAGAAGTCTTTTGTCTTTTTAGATTACATTGCAACCAAGATCTAGCCAAAGCTAAACATGTTTGGAATTATGCAGAGAAGTGCGAACTGGGCCCTCAGGAGACACCAGGCTGTTGGTCGAGTGATACAATGTCAGATAAAAAGAAAATACCTGGTTGACAAACTGAAATATCAGACAAAAAAGAGCCAAGTTGCTCTGGTGGATTCTCTTCAAAAACAAAAAGGTACAGTTTGTAGATTCATTACCTGTCCAATGGAATATGGGGAAGCTATGTTAAGATTGTATGTTTTCTGTTACTCTGTAGTGTTTTTATTTATTACAAGACGTCCATCCTTTCATCTGTCCTATTTTCAGAAGCTTCTTATGAAAAAGCTAATCCGCGAATCTACCATTTTTATTACATTTTTCGAAACGCTACATTTATGTTCATAATGAAAACCTTGTCTCGTTGAGATTGAAAATGGTCGATTTTTTCGGAGGTAGGCAAACAGACCACTGCTCAAGAAGGCATTCTGTATATGGTCGCTCGTTTCAAAATGGCCACTTCTTGTTAAATATTGCAATGTTTAATACAAATCTAAACTCAAATACAAGTGGGCAGATTTGGTTCGAACGTGACGGTGATGCAATAGGGACACAGAGCAGAACAGAACCCTGCTATAAGAATTTGTGAGATACTGTTAGTTCTCAAAATGACTGCTGAATTCAAAATTGCCTTTTTACTTTATGAAAAATATATTTTTGATTAACATAATTGTCAGATTTGGTTGAGATTTTATGTGCGAATGCCTTATTGGCATCAGACTGTGGCGAAGCAGAAATGCTGAATTCAAATTGGTCTTCATTTCTCAGGGAAATTGTGATATTACTCATAACACAAATGTCAGTTAGCAGATCTGGCCCTATATGCTAATTTCTTGTAGTCATAAGGCCTCTGTTCAAGAAAGAATTTAATATATGGCGTTACATCACATCATGGGTGTAGAATTTGCCAAATGGAGTACCCTGCTCGCAGAGTCTAGTTATAACGACGAAGCTCTCTTTAAAGAAGCAAAGTCGAACAAATGCATTTAGGGTTCAAAAGGAGACATAATTCCTCTACTATTTCCTTATAATTTCTATCATGTACCTTGATGTCGAAAATGACTAGGGATTTAATAAAATATATTTTCTTTGGTGGGATTTGCACATACATGTGCATGCTGTCCACATGATTGTACTCGTCTCATTATAAATATTTACGTAACGCTATTGTTGTGTTGTATTATATGTTATAGCAATATAAAATATGGACATTCAAAAGTCATATTTCTCAAACGTACGTTCGATGGTAAAACGGTGAATGACATGATAAATAAATGGTTACACTCTTGGAAAAACTCAAATGTTCGTTATTGCCCAGCCTCCCTTATACACATTTATACACATCAGTCATATGATAAAATTTTGGAATGGGTCATTTAGTCCAGTAAGTAAAGCAATTGTTGCCTTTCACTTCTTTCAGATGAGCCGTTTTTGAGTGCTCCACAGATGCAACAGATTGGAAAATGGAACGCCGATTCCGAGATGGTTAGCCTTATACGTTCTACAAAGTGTCTGCTCCTTTGCAATTCATACAACACACTTTCTTTGGCAGTTGCTACTGAACTGAGGAGTTTCGGAGCTGAAGTTGATGTCAAAGTCATTCATAATGAGCATGACTTTACTATTGCTGATGAAGGAGATTTTGACATTATAATATGCCCATTTCTGACAAAAAGAGTTCCAGAGAGGATTTGGAGTAATAAAGAGCGACCATGTTTGATTGTGCACCCAGGAATCCCAGGAGATCGGGGTCCCGCATCAATAGAGTTTGCAATTAAGAATAAGGCACTTAATTGGGGAGTTACAGTAAGTGATCCGCACCATTTTATCGCACCTTTTCAAAATGTCGTATTTTCATCGACTTGTGCTGAAGGGCGAGCGTCTATTTGGGCGGGTGAAATCTTGTCAACAAGCAGATAAGTGCCAAGATCTAATACTGGGTAAATTACTTGGCAGCCGTTTTGAATTTTTTTGTTACAAAGTGTGATTTTTATCACTGAAGTTTTGAACAATGGTTTACTCATAACATGTTAGCGGCTTCAAGTTGGTATAGTATGAATGGCTTCATGTCAAATCTTGTCCGTTAGTGAACAACCCCCCCCCCCAACATTCTGATTTTTCTCCCACTAGGTTTTACAAGCAGACGAGGACTTTGACAGAGGTTCTATTTGGGCATACGGTATGTTCCCTATATCTGCAAAGAACACCACAAAGACCGAAATGTATGTGTCTGAAGTCACAGAGTGCGCTGTGGATACAGTACTGAGAGCGGTAGCAAGATTTAAACTAGGAGATTCACCAAAACCTTGGCAGTATGGTGATGATAATATTAAAGGAAATCTCCAGACGAAGATAAAAAAGGCAGATAGAAGGATTGACTGGAACCAACATGCTAGCGATGTTGCTCGCCATATACGAATGTTTGACACACAACCTGGGGCACATGGGTTTTTGAAGGTAAGACCTCCGCTTTAATCCAGTGTTAATCAGAGTTTTTATTGGAAAACATAATCAAGTGAGGAACAGGGATTTCTATTGAAATTCATCTAAAAAAAACATTGCAATTCACGACACAATACAATTAAATATTTACAATACAATACAACACTAACAATATAATATATAACACACTACTACACTACACTAAACTACACTACATTAAAGCATAATCTAATAACAATCCATTAATAATTTCAGGGGATTGATGGAGAGATTAGATTTTTTGGGGCCCAAGAAACGCAACCACTTTTGTACTGTGGCGATAAAATGCGTGATCTGCTAACATCTGCTGAACCAGGCGAGCCAATAGGCCGAAAACATAACTCCATTCTCATAAAGTGTGGAGAGGATTCATCATTGTGGGTTTCTCATTTGAAGGTAAGGTATAAGTTATCATTGCTGTTTAACGACTTGCAGTATATTGGTCTGTAATTCTCGCCATTGTATCTTGTTTCTTTCAACTGTAATTGTACCTGTACAATATAAATTGCTTCATTACGAAGATTTTCCGTCAAAATGCTTGGAAATGCTTGTGTAAGTCTATAAACAATGTAAAACCTTTTAAAACAAAAACAAGTGCGTTTAATAGGTATCTGATTAGACCTTTGTAAAGCAATACAATACCATATAGTGGGTGTCATATGGCACTATATGTTGGGGTGAAATAACCAAAAGTGACCCATGTAGGTATTGTTTTGTAGATTACTTCATTGTCTATTCATTTTTACTTGTATACACTCGTCAAGAAGACACGAAGGGAAAAGTGAAATTGAAAAAAATGCAAAATAGGAGGTGAAATTGATATTGATTTGTAATGATAATCCATTAGGATGTAACGATACTACTAAAAACACACGAATCAACTTTATTTACAACTGTTTTCATATTTAGTAATTTTAAGTGATTTTTTAAGTCAGCACAATTTTATTAGTTCTAGATTTTTGTTTTGTCCTTCAAAATAAAACTTTGCAATAAATAGCACTTGCTCTTAGACAATGAGGATTTCAGCAAGGGTGCATTGAGATATGCTCTAGGCTATAGACTTAACGTGTCGATACCATATCCCTAGACTATAATAGATTCTGATGATATCCTCATGTAAAGTTAATAGTACATATCTCCATGTCCTTGCCGAGATTCACATTTTCACAGAACAATGAGTTATTGCAATTTTTTATTTGGAACGACGAACATGTGAACAATAAAATTGTGTATAACGCTAATATGTTTTCAAAGTATCACTAAACGTGAAAAGAGCTGTAAGTAAAGATCCTTCGGTGAGCAATTGTATAATAAGTTACTCTGCCAAAAACTATTGTAATTCAATACTATCGATGACAACAGTGATTTTTGAATAAAAAAAGCATTTTAAGCTCAGCATTACCACTTTTTTACCACAATTATTTTCAATATAATCACCACACCTAAATGAACTATCATTACCAATTATTATAAAATTTACTTCGTATTTTGTATTTTTCCTGCAATTATTTGTATTTTTTTTGAAATTGAATTTAACACGCTTTCTGTCAATTTCTGGCTCGTTACACTAAGCTCGTTAGTTAGTCATTCCCCTGGGACGCCCTTCCCTAAGGTCATTTCCTGTTCATTGTTTCAGTCAAACAAAATCCCAGGAGTAAAGAATATAAAGTTACCAGCAACGATGGTGTACACAAAACCACTGGCTGAAATGAACACACTTGACTACGAGGATGTTTGGGTAGAGATGCGAGATAACGTCGCATACGTCCATTTTGATTTCTATAACGGCGCCATGGACGTGTCACAGTGTCAACGCCTCCAACACATGCTCAAAAACATCAAACTGCAGGACAACATAGATGTTGTGGTCCTTATGGGCGGAAAACGGTTCTTCTCAACTGGTAACTTTTTACATCAAATATCTATTTATACAATGCATAAAATAAACTTGTCCATGTATCAAAACCGATTTAAACCTGCCTCCAGCTCGCTAAGTTTCCAGCCTATTGTCTCTCCTACCAGATGACTTCAGACCAATATCATGGTAATATAAGATATACTTAAGTACTTCTAGCAGTCTGAGGGTGAGATAACTCGCCAATTTAAACTTTCCCCGGTTTAATGTAAAATTACATTGAAAATGGAAGCCCACGTGATAGAAATGCAAATCCAGTGAAATGTTCCAGACTGGGAAGAATTAATTTATTTTTTTCTGGGTAGATTCATCACTATTGTTACGCGGTAAACACGATCCGCAACGAATATGGCATATTCACTTGCGGTGTATGACAGATTCACCTGCGGTATATGGCATACACTCTAAACAATGAGAACGTGATACGGAAGTACGCAATTGTCAATTGCATCGATTGAACGAACAAGTAAAACGTTATACATTATTATAATGATTACTGAATCATCGGTACTGTGTATCGAATATATTAACTTAGCAGAAGTATCAGCCACCAATCTCGCGTAATAAACTTACTCAATCAATCTAGGATTCATATATTAGTACTCAAAGCACTAACTATATTGGTAATCCAGCGTAGTTTTACATTTAGAGTCGATTCTCGCAACCAATTAAATCAAGGCTTTATATATGTCATATTCACCTGCGGTATATGGCATATTCCGCAAGTGAGTATGACATATTCCGCAGGTGAGTATCGGGTATTCACTGAAATCAATGTATCGCATATTCACTGCGGAATATCGCATACTCACCTGCGGAATATGTCATATACCGCAGGTGAGTATGGCATATTCACCCGTATCACAAATACCGCGCACCATGAATGTATGCCATATACCGCGTAACAACTATGGTAATATATTAAATGGTAACTGGTCAAGTCGTACCCAAGACAACTCGTACCCAAGTCAAGTCGTACCCAAGACAACTCGTACCCAAGTTTATGTTTTGTTTTCAATCAAGTGTTGGAATGAGAATGGGTATACATGTAGATATACATATTTTAATTGTTACATACAGTTCAGAATAGTTTGAAGTATGTAGAAGAGTTTTTGGAAGAAATGTATTTAATTCTGTGACATTTTGAGCTTTGAAAAATTAAATGTCAATCTATTTTGACTATTATTTTATATTGGTCACAGATTCAGGATGTTTGAAAGAAAAGACCTATGTTTATTCAATATATTCATAATCATTGTTCAAAATATTAGAGGTATTAAAATTTAGCAATAAAATATTCTAAATAATATTATATTATTCATACATGATATAATACACTTCGTATACATGTGTTCAAATATAATCCAATTAAGTTCAAAATGGAATAGAATTTAACAGATTAAACTTCCGTTATCAACTTCATCTAAATGCACTTAGCTAAATTAATTGTTTGATTCATTTGTAGATAAGTTACTGTCGTAATTATATTCATTTATATATATGTATGACAAAAAAAAGAGAGAACAAGCCCTTCAAAGCACTTCTTTTATTTAAAAAAGGTGATCCAAGTTAAAACAAAATGCTTTGCTTAATCCATTCAGAAAAAATGTCTTCTTAATTCAGAAAAAATATTGAGGCTTATTTGATTCACATAACAACAATAAAACATTATTATACAGACTCAATTTGTTTTCCTAATATACACCCATAATACTGAAAATAAACTTGGGTACGAGTTGTCTTGGGTACGAGTTGTCTTAGGTACGAGTTGTCTTGGGTACGAGTTGTCTTGGGTACGAGTTGACTAGGAAGCTATTAAATAACTCAACTTCATTTACTTCAGAGTATAATGGACTATTTTCGATGTTTTAGTTGGATGACTAACGAAGAGTCGAAACTAAACCATTATACTCTGAAGTAAATGAAGTTGAGTTATTTAAATAAATCATATTTTACTTTCATCATATTGTCGAATCTCATCTTAATAAGTATACAATCCCCATTTGATAGGAATTCACCTGAATGTGATCGAGCAGGCAGATGAGCCACACATCGAGTCATATGCCAACATAGAAGCAATAGATGATGTCATCAAAGAATATGTTCAAATGGAAGATAAACTAGTTATAGCTTGTCTTCAAGGAAACGCTGGTGCCGGAGGTTGTATGATGAGCGCAGCAGCAGATTATACTATAGCCCATAAGGTAGTATCGGAGTATTGTCACTATACTTTTTAAAATTCACTCAATGGTACACAATGACATTGCTTATGTCAATTGATTTCTTTAGATGAGCACGCGAGATTTTTATCTCTTCCTTAAATTTAGTTCCGTACCCCAAATATTCGAATAAGTAGTCCTTTAGCCTATTTAGAGCGATGTAAATTCATCTCGTTAAACCATGGACGTATACGACCATGGTTAAACATATCGTTTTGCTCCTATGTTTTAGTTAAGCCTGTGTATTTGTCATTTTAGTGCGTATCTTTGACGCCAACATACAAAAGCATGCACTTATATGGTTCTGAATATTGGACATACTTCCTACCCAGGAAAATCGGGAACGAAATGGCGCTTGATCTCACGTCTCGCACAGACTCAATAATGGCCAGCGAGGCATACTCCATTGGCCTAGTTGACGTTCTACTCGGAAGGTAATTGTATTGTGAATATGAATTAAGAAGCAAATTGTATTCTATTCCAAAGGCCTCGTTTTTGTAGCGATTGTTCTATTTAAGAGATATCCAAAGACAAATTATGTATTCTTTATCACGACATGATTTATGTTCGTTGAAATACTGCATTTCTGCCAATATATTTCAGAAATGGTTATGAATTAAATGACAACATTCATGAAGCAGTCACTGGTATTTGGAACAGCTTTGACAGTAGACTTGTTCTAAATTCGAAATCAAGGCGATCGGAAAAATGGTACGAAAATCTGGAGGAGCACAGGGCAGCTGAATTACGTCTAATGAAGCAATGCTTTTCGGATCCAGCTTACCATTCTGCCCGCAGGGATTTTGTTTTTCATTAAAATATAGCAACATGTTAAAATGAAGTGAACTCTTTTGAAAGAATTTAGGATTTGAATATTTTTTTGTATCAATGTAGAATCTAGAAATATAATAAAATGTGTATTTTAAGTTAATTTATTTTTTGGGGTATTTATTTTTAGCGATATTCTTTTGAACCAATCTAATTTTCCTTGTATAAGTATGATATTGAGAGTGCGTATATGTCATTTTGTTCCAACGAGGGTAAGGTAGATGCTTCATTCCATGTCAAGAAATTGGCAGAAAAGGACAAGACAACAGTTTTGGGTTTACAAAAACAATTACATATAAAAATATATAAATATTGCTAAAGTCAAAGTGGTACCATTCGATGACCATTTTCATAGAGCGTTATTTTTCGTTTGAATTTAGTTCACCAAATCGAAGGTCCTTTGAATTGAAATGGACCATCTGGAGTTTTCCTAATTTCTTCACGCAAATGCTGCCACATATAGCAGCTCCTTGCTAAATCAAAGTACACCATCAAGTGGACCTTGTTCTCGGAGAGTTCGACCAATTACTTTGAAGTTACTTGGAGCAATCGCATTTGCAAACTGCTGGTTTTTAAAAAGCCGGCTTTCTATAGCCAGTGCACGCTTGTAATACAAGAAACCGGCTTTCTGAAAGCTTGTTTGAAAGCAAGTTTCTGGTGCTAGTTAAGCATACTATTCTTTGGCGTTTTTCATAAAAATACCTATAAATACCCATAACTTAAAAAAGTGAGCAATGTCATAAGTATTGTGATAATAACGTCCCTTATTTCTTTTTATTACAGGTCGTGTAGACCATTGTTGCACGATTTATAGCAAAAACATTGACTTTTGCACGTTGGTGATGATGCGCCTTTTTTAATAGATCTCATATCTTAGAAGGGTATCAGTTCAAAGAAAATACTAGATGACCTAACATATTTTGCCATGCACTGCGCCTATTCATTTGGCAATTCAGTTGTAAATTTTCTCTTGAAAAAATAAATCTTCCGAATTTGTTGAGCTTTCTTGCAGAAATCGCCTAATCCCCCTCCATCATTTTTGTACGATCAACGGGCGTGATACTGTGTTATCTGCTTTTCTATTCTAATTCGGATATAACTCCACTGTAGTTTATCTTATGTTACTCTCATTAATAGATGTCACTGTATGTATTCTTATAATATGAAATAGATATAAACTAGTAACCTCATCTTGACTGAAGTTCCAATACACCGCTGGAAAGCTGAGAGTATCCGCCTTTACCCTTAAACAGTTAGACTTACACCACGGTAAGGGGAAGGGGGAGATCTGTCTGTCCCCTATGATCTCAGAAACGAACAATCATAGGAGGCTGTATTAGGTATTATTGGAAAGGTTATTCAATTTCCAGTATTTCGAGCTTACTTATATTTAACTATGTTGAACCATTATTCATGAAGAAATTTATTTTCTTTGACAATTTGAGTATTTCAGTAACTTTAACAGCTCTAACTTTTCTCGAAGGGGGGTTAGAGTCACAATGTTTTCTTTTCACTGAAACAAGAAAAGCCCTTTCATCCCCAATGTACAGAGTGTTTCATATGTATGCACCCCTTCTAAAATCATATGTGGCATTGCCGGCCATCCTATCATGTTATACATCATTTTGTTCCTCGTAGAAAGCTACATAAGATTTCACAATTTTTGAAAATTAGAAAAATAGTCAGAAACAAAATTTGTGGTCATAAAAAGGAAAAAAGATATCTTTTCAAATCATTTTTTTCATTTTTTTCTATTTCTAGAAATGAATTCAATTTTCAAAGCTCCTATCATTCGAAGCAATATGTTGGGCACATTTTCTAAAAAATCAAAATATTCTGTTCAGTGATCTTTCGGAAACGCTAACTTTTAACTTTTTTATTCTGGAAGTGATCATCATGGAAATTTGACACCTTTTTAGAAATGAGGTGAGTTTTGACATCCTGAGACCTTGAGAAAGACCTGAATAATGGATGTGAGATGATGCAAGATACGTTTACTCATATATGGTCAAGAAATAGGAATCCTCTTCAACATTATTTTCTTTATTGACCTTGAGAAAGACCTGAATAATGGATGTGAGATGATGCAAGATACGTTTACTCATATATGGTCAAGAAAAAGGAATCCTCTTCAACATTATTTTCTTTATTGACCCATCTTCACTATATCGCTCAGATTTTGTTCAACTTTGAATAGGTTTTATCACATCATCGATGGGATAGAGTCGTCATGATGACGGCGTGACTGTGATCGTGATCGTTTTTAACATCGCGATTTCAGGAAAACCGCTCATCAGATTTTCTCCAAATTCGCATACATGGATGGCTTCACCATGGCCTAACTGTTCAAATTCTTCAGTAATTTTCACCATCATACAAACAGATGTCTTGTTGAGGGCATGATGACACTGAAACTGTGCACGAAGGCCTAATCGTGATTTCAGAAAACATGACTATTCTTCAACAGTTCGATGTGTACCTGATATTTCAAAACGCTTATCCTGAGGCTGAATTAACCTATCAGACCAATGTTTACAAAATATTCTGCAGAAGGTGAACTTTGCATTTTTATTGAAATATGACACAAATCTTTGGCACTTACACTTGCCAAATGTAACTCTCTCTTGAAAGCAGAACATTGGAAAAATGGACACATGGGATGTTACGCAGAGCGGAAATTAATGCTCTATAGCTTGTTGTTTTTATAACAATCGATTTGATGTCAGTTTTGATAGAAATGGCACAGTTGTATTGACTGTTATTGAAGTGTTTAAATTAAATGCCAAACAATATACTATATCTAGTATATTAACAATACTATTTTTGTTATAAATCGCCGAATCGAGTCCACGTTAATGTAAGTAAATGTAACAGCGCCACTGTTGGAAATGTTGTGATAACTGAAGCAAGACAAATGATCAGATGCCGTGATAGCTAAGAGAAGGAATGTAAATGTGTTTCTAAGGCAGGCTGAGGATCAGTTTGTAATTTTGAACTTCGGTGATTTATTTTCTCTTTGATTATTTTCCTTGATATTAGATGCCAAATGTAAAGCACTATTCTATTCAGATTTTATGCAGTCTAAATTGAAACGGAAAGACCAATGCAGGCCACGTAATAAGAGTCAAATATCAAGACATGTATTGAGACTATAAAATGGCCGAAAGCAAACAGAAAGAGTATACGAGTAATGTTGGTTATGAAGAAATCTTTTCAAAGAACAAACCAATATTTCCCAAACTTTTTATCCTATTAACCTGTGATATCCGATCAAATGTAAAAATTAATTGAAGATAAGATGCAGATGTGTCAAAATTATTATATTATAATTATTATATCAAAAGTATTGAATTCAAATAGTGATAGTCATGGTTCACCAGAGAATCTGACACTTCTCGTTTCTGCTATGGATTAAGTATGAGTACTGGGTTTTATGATAAATAATAACCGAGGGCCGTTAACCCAAGGATGTTATTTATCCTAAAGCCCAGTGCGAATGCTTTATCTAACTTAAGCCCCAAAGACTCTTATGAAAGATAAATGGTCCATAATCTAAGCTGGAAAATTTGATTTCTTTAGTATTGACTATTCAGTTGGGGGTAGGTGGTTTGATACATGTAAGTGAGTGGGTGGATATAATTAGTTAAGCTTTAGTGCATTGCATGTAAAGGTCAGGTACAGTTTAAAATTTGATTTCTTTTTATAGACATCATTTGTGTTAACTATTCAACTATTGAATGAGTGAAGTGGGTGTAATTAGATCCATTTAAGTGTGACAGTCAATCGTCTTTCTTTACTACAACTGTACAGGGTGTCAAATAAATATGTTCTCCAAGAGAATGAACTTTTGTGCATAAAAGTGCATCTAGTTGAGCTAGTCATCTGAAACTTCTTGTAGAGTTGCTTTCAAAGCCTAGTTTTAATGTGCTTAAGAACAATTTAGATTTTATTTAGACAAGAAAGTTACGCAGCATTATGTGGATGTTAAAGTTGAGTGGAAGAACATATCTACTTGACACCCTGTATATTCTTTAAAACAAAAACAGTTAATCCTATTGTGTTGCTACCTAAGTGAGCTTAATATGCTTTAATACAATGCGTACCATTCTGCGCTGAGACAGCACGAGAGAGTGTACTGTCTTGCACTGCGTACTGTATAATAGAACCAATAATTTATCGGAGAAGTTAAGTTAAACCGGTCATTCCTATACACAAGCACTACACAAATGGCTTATTACCATCAAGTATGTGTTGAACTTCAAGGATTCTTCAGTTCTTTATACTTAAACCTTTTCCCGTAACTTAACCTTGAAACGGGCATCGAGACCACGCATTCATCTGGACTGGTTGGATCCGACGTGATTTTGGATTAATTTTACATCACTCGAAACCCCAACGGCAAAGTGTTTTATTTCGGACAGACAGATATTTGTAAGATGAGGATATACATCTGTGTAATACTTTCTTTGGTGATGGTTCCAGCTGAATGCATAAAGGATTTATGGCTGATCGGTTTGTTTCCATTTAACGGTTCGTGGCCTGGTGGACTAGGACAGGAACCCGCTGTTCAATTAGGGATCAAAGACGTGAACAATGATCCCTATATTCTACCGGGATACCGACTAAGAATGACAGTCAGTAATACAGAGGTAATACTGAATTCTATTCGATATCTACACCTGTTACCTGGTAGTTTAAAACCAAGGTTTTAATTAAGCTCTCTCATCTATTGCGTCATGTGTTTGATTAAATTGAAGTGAAATTGGCTAATGCTAAATCACAAAATATAAATATGTATAAGTTCGGATTATATCTCAACAATTTATTTGCATTTGGTTAGTTAACATATACATAATCATGGTAGGACACCTTCACGACCACATGCATTGTCACTTCGATAAAGTCAAGGGTTATGGAGTTATTATTGAGATTTCTGTTCCATCTCTGACCGTGTTACATTAATATTCCTGCACTATTCGTGATTTCGATTAAATAGGTATATTTTCAAAGCGCAGAGCGGTCTTTTAGAAAGATAATCCTAGGATCAGTATTGCGAAAAATAATTAGATAACTCATTTATATGGTTCAGAGGTCTTATCAGACGTGACGCTACGGATATGAATAAAGAGAATAGTCCAACTCCACTCTTTTAATTTCGAAAGTATTGCTCTGTGAGAGTGCAAAGTGATGTTTTAGAATTCCCTCGGGTGAAATATAGTCGTAATTTGCAATCTCACCACAACTCGAATTTATTACTTAGTCATATTTTGATAGCACTGTCCCTACTGTGAAACTTTTAACATAGACACTTGTACCAAAAATAGCTCTTAGTTACTACGGTTTTATCGCCTATAGTTTTATTTCACGTTTTTAGGGTTTTGTATGTTGGAGACTCTCTTAAAAGTTTGAAACCTATTTTCTGTACAGCTATCGTTCCATTATACGCCTGAGGAAAAGCACGACAATCCATTTTAAACATCGGAATATTTTACTAATTGTCACAATAATGCATTTAGTCTTGGTTCATTCTAGACTGTGGACCCCCATCTTCTACACCAAAAGTAGCAGACAAGGGGGGGGGGGATCCAGGATCTTGAAGCAAGACTATGCATTTAGCTACACTAGCCGTTACAAAATATATTTGAATGATAATATACGTAAATGTTTTGTTTTCGAATCATACCCCTGTTAATGGGATTGATCACTCAGATACTGGTAAAGTTACGGCTCTCGCGTATCTCTCCTCGATCCTCACACTTCGTTAACAAACGTTCGAGCATCTCAAACGTTCGAGCATCTTCCTTTCAATCAGTGGAACAGTCAACTACTTTATTTAGTACTCGTTTCATTATTCTTACAGCTCTAAAGAAGACGAAGCTATGATTATAATTCCTGGATGTTGGGTGGGGGGTCTTTTCAGTACCAGGACTTTAGTCCTGGGATCTTTCGTTATGTGCACCCATTGGATTACAATTTGGAAGTCATAACTGCCAAAAAATGTATACCTCAATAAACAGATAAATTCCTGAGTAAATACTTGTAAGTAGCATTCATTCTTTGTTGTTAAAACTCCGATTGTATGTGTTTAGCAGCAGAATGAGGAAATTTCGTTTTTCATCGTCCCTCTTGTCAAAATTGCGGAACTTTACAATTAAATAGCACGTAATTGAAAATGTACTTCTTTAACAAGTCTCCTATGGCGTCGGGGTAATAGCCTGTAAAATCTTGACCAAAACATGATACCAGTATTTGCGTTATCATGAAAAAAATCCTCTTGGTAAACGGCAGCCATTTTGAATTTCGCCTGTCATTTTGAATTCAGCAGCCATCTTGAAAATCCCTTCTTGAGCGGAAAGGCATCAACAAACGCAATCCGAACCAAATCTGACAACTGGTATTTCACTTATCAAAAATAATTTCATGAATAATGGGGGCCACTTTGAACTCAGCAGCCTTATTTTTTCAACAGGGTCTTATGTCCTAAGACTTCTGCGAAAAATTGAACCAAATCTGTTAATAATATATGAGTTATCAAAGATTATACTTCCAAGAAAAACGATAGCCATTTTGAATCGAGTGGACATCTTGGAAATTCCATCGATAACCATATGTGTGAATACGCATATGTTTTGTAGAAATTAGGAATCAAAGTCTACTATATCAAGATAAAACCTCTATTTGCCTTTAAAATGTGTTTGTATGAACACTACAATTTTTAAGAAATATTGATTTACACGAAATCGATTGGACTATTGTTTTTGTTCGTCCTCACAAAAGATTGTCTGTTATGTTACTGATCGTTCAAGTGCCTAAGATATGGATATTCATTATTTTTATCATTAATTAACAATGTTGCTCAGAAATAAGAATGTGCCATGTATTTTGGCTTTAATGGTTCTGTCCGTCATTGGAATCACACTCACCGGAAGTAGCTATTGGATAGCTTGTTAAAGTCTGTTTATGTCTTGATATTTTGTTCCTAGATTCATTCACAATAGGAAACTGATGAATTTGTTAAAACCGCCGACCATAAACTGGCTCTCATTAACATGTGGCATAACATATAGAACCTCGGCTGCCGAATCAGCCAAAGGGAAGTACAGTTATTGATCAATATAATAAAATGTTAACACTTGCACACAAATGATTCAAGTATTTCTAGTTTGATTATTATGATACAAGAGTGAACGGGTGAATGTTCAGTGTTCACTGTGTGGTGTAGTGATGCAATGGCCGAAGGAGCGAGTGGCTCATTGTGTTAGGTGGCCTTTTACAAACATAAATTATTGAGTGTAATAAATATATGAACACATGATATGTAAGTACTTTCATTTCCAAGTAACCCAGTATTTAGGGATGAACTTTCAACTCAATCATTGTTTTATTCGTGTCGAATTCAAATGGAAATGAAATAGGCCTAGCTCAGTAAAGTCAATTTAAAAGCAAGATAATGCAGCAAATTCGTCACAACCGAGCTCTTTGTAAAAACAAACGAACCATCAGGATCAATAATAGAGCTAGATATTTCTTATGTATGGGAAATGGATGATAAATCCTTTTCCCAGGAATTGTCAACTTTTCGTTCAAAAGTCAAAAACCTTGATAAAATCAAATGTTGAAACACTATGGAATAAAACTATAATATTATTTCAGTATTAACAATAGCAGGGACATCCCTCGTACGATAAAACATCTAGCGTCGTTTAGGCCAGATGAAGACTTCCTGGGTTTACTGGTGAATTTATCTTAATGTATTGTGAAAAAGCTATCAACAAAAAAGCCTAACTGACGAAGCTACACAGTCTATATACACAGGATAGATTGTAAAAAGGCATTTTGTTAAATGCTTGTTTGACAAACGTTTCTTTTACTCTGCTGTGTGACGGGTTAAAAAAAGATGTAGAGACATATTCATTCACCAGGTGTCCATGCTATGTCACTTTACGACTCGGTGTGTATATTGTCAACAGAAACTACTTCATCCCAGAACTCTGCTACTTACCGCGATGTGTTTAACGTATTTTTCATAACACTAGTGGACAGGGGGGGGGGGGGATGCTGGCGTTTCCAAAGTTACGGTAAAAACTATGGTACCATATTATAGGTCATTCAAAACTCGAGGGAGATCTATTAAAATCTAAAAAAGTAGGTCAAATGAGGTCAAAAGTACTTTTGTACTAAGAATCGAGGAAAAATCTGGTCATCCGACCCCCGCTCCCCCATGTCTGTATTAGGATAAAAGTAGTAGTTAGTAACATATATGTGTAAAAACTTCAATGTTCGAAGTAATTTATTCAATAAACAGGCCCAATACTTGTCTTCTTTATGACCCCAATATTTGGTAAAAACCGGTTCTCAGGTATTCGATAATCAAATAAAACTAAAAATGCAAAAATATCCAAGTTCATTTAGATTAAAAACGCGGGCGTCTATTTTCCAGGCATATTCACGAAATAAAAGCAGATATATATATCAGAGATTCAGAAAATAGAAATAGTAAGAGATACCTTTATCTCGCCAGAAGCTATCATTCACTGCCCCTTTAAAGAAATAACAAATACGCATTTAAAATCAATTAATAAATTGTATCAACTTTCAACTTGGCTGGGTAAATAATAAAGGAGGATTTTCTAGCTTTTAAGCTTAAATGAGCCCTTAGTACATGGCCTTGTAGATGGAACGATTACTTTTCAAGATAAATAGTTTATTGCCAAAAGTCGATCATGATTGACGAATGACTCAGTAATTGTTTTTTGCAATTGCTTTGACATGCTTATTCTTTGAAATAAAAAAAATTAAAAAAAAAAAAAAAAAAATTATTAGTGCGTGTCCATGGTAGGGTATAAAGCTGGGTTAGAGTATTTGGATATACTTTGTATCTGACGGGTCCTTTTGTGTGTTGTTTATTTCTTCTGTCTTGTTATTCCCCTGTCACGAGTAGACCCACGAAACTTTAGATTTCATGAACCAAAAACTAACATTATATCATGTTTACAGTGTGACCCTGGAATTGGGACCAATGCCCTTTTTGATCAGCTTTACCGCGACCCAGTGAAGATGATGGTTCTGGGTGCAGGATGTTCAGCTGTCAGTCAAGCTACGTCACAGGCTTCTCATCTTTGGAATCTTCTGCAGGTACGTAAACAAAATAATACAGATCAATAATGGAGTATTGCTAGTATTCAATCAAATAATGTTATTATTCAATCATAGTACTAATCTAGTATGTTGATATTACTCTGGTTACGGAACGGAGCCTAACTGAAATAGCTAGTTATTCAGTTTGACGGTCTTTACTGTTATCCCATAATATAAGTTACAAGAATAAGGAACTAGATTTAAAAGTGTTTAGTAATTTTTTATAGCAACAAGTATTCGCTCATGGTTGCATGTTAATCAATGGCTCAAAATGAGATTTTCAGCAAAAACATGGCTTTCAGCAATCATGTTTGACATGGTGGTACACTCCCCTCCATAAGTTTGGCAACCTTAGCTCCCCTATTGAACTACGCGGAGGCTTTAACACGGAGTTCAATGGCGGAGCTAAGATTGCCAAACTTATGGAGGGGAGTGTAGAACTATATATTTCTGATTTTTTGGACTTTTATCGTTAAAACTACTCAACATGTTGTTGTTCCAATATTTTGTTACTTATGTACAGTGTATAAACTATACATGTATTCTCTTAATAGTTAAAGTAAATTGGAGTACATCTTCTATTTTTAAAGCCTAGTGTCCCATTTTATTGGACCCATTCTATACTGATGAATCTATCACTTTAGGAGGTGACAGGTCATCTCAACCCCAAGTCATCTCAACCCAGTCCAACTCAACCCCAAGTCAAGTCAACCCCAGTAAAACTCAATCCCAAGTCAACTCAACCCTGTAAAACTCAACCCCAGTAAAACTCAACCCTATTCATTTGTGCAATGTCTAATTTAATTTTTCTATGATGAATAATTTTAGCCATTTATTTCTGAAAATCTAGCATTTTGCATGATACTTTGAATAGAAAGTTGTAAAAGTATTTAAAAAAAACACGATAATTCATCAAGTTGTCACTATTATTTAATTTAAGACATCTTTTAAAATCAAACTTTAGATGATTTAGAAATAATTAACAATGTAATATAATATAACTTTTTATTTATATGAACATGCTTTAACAAAATCATTAACATTTAGTAATTAATAGACTGAAAGCAAAGATGTAGCCAGGAGGGGTGTGCACACACCCTCCCCCCCAATTTTGAAGGAAGTTGCATCATTTTTTGTCAAAACATATCTTTTTTGGCTCGCTTATGCCACGATCGGCACCCCCTGACTGAAAACCTGATTTTTTGGGTGATCGCATCCCTCCTGACTGAAAGCTGGCTATGCCCCTGGAAAGCAATGGTCATGTTCCAGTTTTCCAAATAATCACGAGTGTCAACCTCATAGGGATTACAACAAAACAAACGTATTAGCAAGATTAATAAAATGACCCATACTTTAATCCTTAAAGGGTTCCGATTAGCATCCCGTATAAAAACAATATGGCGGCTCCAGGCGAATCAACTGGATCAGTCCATTTTTAAGAAATAAGGGGAGTTCTGTAAAATCCAGTTTATTGAAATTGTCTTTGAGATAAAGAAATCCGTTTATAATGATTTTGAAATCGTTATCCAAAGAGTGATCTTGCGTTCAAAGAATACATGTACAACAACCAATATAAATCCTTGTATTAGAAACCGGTTTGTCTTGCTTTGTTTCATTTGTAGGATATTTCATATGCCAAGCTGTGTGCTATTACGTTATGGGGAAATTTAGATGCCAATTTCTCCTTATTATACACAAATAGAAGATCCTGAAACTTCACCCATAAATGTGGAATTGATTTGTCAAAATAAAAATCACCCTTTTATAAATGTGTGACGATCTATAATATACTTATGCTATATAACAGTTAGAGGTGTTGACACAACGACCTCGATCTGTGAACCCTTGAGTATTATTCCGGGATCGGGCCTTTTATACTAAACGGTGAGCAACACCAGAAACGAGCGTTCGATTTGCTGAACGATATGCGTCACCCTTTAATACCATATTGACATTTTGGAGATAAACTCATTATTAACTATAATCTAAAAAGGCAGTGGTCTAAGAATGAAAATCACAAACTGAATCATCAGAATTGTTTTTACTGGGATAGAGTTTTACTGGGGTTGACTTGACTTGGGGTTGAGTTTTACTGGGGTTGAGTTGACTTGGGTTGAGTTGACTTGGGGTTGAGTTTTACTGGGTTGAGTTGACTTGGGGTTGAGATGACCAGGAAGCCTTTAGGAACATGATCATCTACAATAAACCAACAGTTTAACTAAATGGCTTAATTGCATGTAAGAAGTCATGGGTGTATTAGTTGCATGCTTGCAATATCATGATGTTAATTTTTTTAATTCAATAAGTCAAGCATAAATTAAAGTAAGAGTTGTAATGTGCAAAGACGAGACGAAGTACCATGTCATTGCGTTAATAAATTGCTTGATTACCTTGGACTGGAAGCAGAATGAACCATACTAAATACCCAATTTGACGATTCATGAATGTTGTGACACTATTCCTAATAACCAATAATATTTTTGTCTAACAAAATAACCAAAGTCACCGTTGAATAAAAATAAAGAATATCAACAGAAGTTAACATTTTGGGCAAAAAATGAGTATTTGGCATAATTTCAACCATTCCAGCCATTTTTCGTTTCACCGCGTGACACAAAAATGCCACACACCGACATCACGCGCTCCTAACTTCGACCGTTAATTTGAATTTTTGACCCACCGGATGTTTGAAAATCAAGGATTACGACTCTCATACTGCACCGTTTTTCTTCAAACTTATACCATTAAAAGCAGAACAAAATTGCCTTTCTGTCGATGCATTACTTTATTGTAAAGAGTCCCTCGTTCTAGCAGCGTTTTGGTCCCCAGCTGTTAGAAGGCCTTCTTACAGCTGGGGACCAGAATGCCGCTGGAAGAAGGGACTCTGTTTTAGAGAATAATGTACCATCAGAAAGGGATTTTTGTTATCCTTTGAATGGAACAAGTTTGAAGAAAAACGGTGCAGTATGAGACTCGTAATCCTTGATTTTCAAATATCCGGTTGGTCAAAAATTCAAAAACAGTCTAAGTTAGGACCGCGTGGACATAATGTTGCATAAATTTTTTGTCTGCACAAATTCTGACTTTTTGTTGAAACTCTACGAGCAGTTTCAGATGACTAACTCAACTAGATGCACATATATGAGTGTTACATTTCAAACAAAAAATGACATACACCTTTTGTAACATAATTTTGGAAATAAGTTATTATTACCCTTTGCAATTCGTTGACTACTCTTCTTAAAAGAGAGCTTCGTCTTCGGTAGTTTATAGGTAGACTCTGCACGCATGGTAGTTATTATAAGTTTATAAATGTCAACTATACTATACCATTTTGTGTTTAATTGAATGGACTTCCTTTCCCCGAAAGTACAAGCAAAAATCATTAGCATCTACAGTCTATTAAGCTGATTCAAAGGCAAGCAGTTGCATTTGAAAAATAAGAAATCTAAAGACTATTGGGCAATAATATATAGAAAAATATATTCATATTGCACACGAATGACATTTGTATATTTCAGATTATTTAGTGTTTATTGCAATAAGCCTGTGGCCTCTTGTAATTTGAGGTCCATAGTAACATGGCAGAGAAGTCTCAAAATATAAGAGGTTACAGACATGGCAGAGAAGTCTCAAAATATAAGAGGTTACAGACATTACAAGCAAATCCAGGAGCAATCCGAGATATACATATGTCATTCGTGACTAATATGACTATATTTTCCTATATATTATTAAATTTATAAAGTTATGTTACAAAAGGTAGGAAGCATTTTGTGTGTGTAGAATCTAGGTTTAAAAAATAAAAGTGTATATAAACATATGTTTGAAATATAAAAAATTCACATTTTACTCCCACTTCCTATGTCAATAATCAAATCTTAGTTTATACTTTTTCTCTGCTCAAATCTTCTGGTTTATTCACAATATGACCGTGTTATATAATCGCTGAGCTAGAAAAACGTCCTGAAGGGATTAGATTAATCTCTAACTAGATTAACAAATATTGAACAAAAATAATATGTTGACAGATGACATGGCTATAATTAAACAGTCATGATACTGAATGGCAAATGGAACTCCATGGAGAAGACTTTGAGTAAATTGGGATCATTCTCTCATTTCACATAACCTTATACTTCAGGGCCTTCAGTCGGAACAAAGACGCATTGAGGGTGACTTTCACAATTTTACAATAGTTTGTGCTCAATACATTTGATGATATGCCTATATTCGATAATTCTAACTGTGCTGACTTATTTTATGAAACTGATTTGATTCCAAATGTTAACAAACATTATTTTTGTATATGAAGTATTATCACTCTTTTTCAAGACAACTTCCAGATGTTTACACTAATATTGTTCTTTGCCCCAATTTGGAATCCGGTAATTTAGAACAGTATATCTAAAACAGGCCCCACAGCTTCCTCTTTGTGTTCCATGGTGTAATTATTTGCCTACATGCTGAATCCATTACACCTTACCGTGCCTTACTTACTAGGCATCCTGCTTTGAAGGTTATTTCGAAAATCAATTAAAATCTAGTAAAATTTATCGACATGCAGACGGTAGGGAAAACGAAATGAAGGAAGAAGTTGGTAGGACTATCCAAAATATTTTGTCAGTAAATCTCATATATATTAATAAATAATATTAAACAGTAAAAAATTTTCAGTACTCTCATATCTGATTGCTTACTGGGAAGCTCAAAAAGCCCAAATTTTCTTTGTTTTAGTTATCGTACTCGAGTGCAAGCCCTGCTCTTTCCAACAAAGTCATTTACAAACGTTTCTTTCGTGTGTTCCCGCCTGAATCATCATTCAATGCAGCTAAATTCGAATTTCTGAATCACTTCAAATGGAAAAAAGTTGGCACCTTGCACGAAACCAAAGAACCCTTTGCATTGGTAAGTACTTCCATATAGTCTAATATACACGATATACGAGGGTTGTTCCAGAAGTAATGCACTATATGCTCTAACTTTCTTTAATTTTCTTCAATTCAGCTGAAATTTTGGGTATATTACAATTGAAGTTTTATCTGTTATATCCTGAAGTTTCAGCATCATAAATCTATATTATTCAACATGATGTTCATCGAGTACAAATAATGACATTTTACACTGTGATCATAATTCCACATACTCGGGGTGGAAGGTGTGAGAATTGTGCAAAAAATGACTTTGTGAGCTGGATGGAGTTTCTCTGTATTTTTCATTCTATTAGGGTTTCCTGCATAAGGGATTTTGCCTGCGAAGCATATAACTCTTGCGAACATATCTAAATATTGGTCCGAGGAAGACATACCTTGAATTTTTTAGAAAAAATTGGCTAAAAATGGAAACTACAAAAAGTCAAAATGTTCAACTCAAACAAAACTCTAGCTATTTAATATTAACACTATGTATTATTTAATGTTTTTCAGATGTTTAAGGACCTTCATTAGTGTACTAGTGTCTAGAAATAAGATAATTAAGGACAAAATTTGGCATTTTTGATCATTTTCGCTTTCAGCAGTAACATATAGTTCTTTATATCTTGAGTTTAATGTTGACTGGTTGTTGCAATTTTGATTAAATCTGTGCTTGTACATGTCTTCTTCCATTTAAGATACAAAAAATGTATATTGGACCACCAATGGTCATATTAGAGCTTTCAGATCTCCCCTACCCCATTTATTATGAAAAATTACTGAAACATATGAAAATATAAAATAACTTGAATTTATAAACTTTAACAATGTTGTAGCTATTCTATATCAATATTATGTATTATTTAATGTTTTTCAGATATTTCAGAACCTTTATTGGTAAACTAGTGTCTAGAAATGAGACATTTAAGGACAAAACATGGCTTTTTTGACCATTTTCGCTTTCAGCAATACCATATAGGTCCTTATATCTTGAGTTTAATGCTGACTGGTTGGTGCATTCTTAGTCAAATTTGTTCTTGTAGATGTCTTCTTTCATTTAAGATATAAAAAATGTATAGTGGATGACCAATGTTCATAGTAGAGCTTTCAGGTCTCCCCTACCCCATTTATTAGGAAAAATGACCAGAAATATTAATAAAAAGAAAAATAACTTCAAATTATGAACTTTTACAAAGTTGTACCTATTCTATGTCAATACTATGTATTATTTAATCTTTTTCTGATGTTTCAGGACCCTCATTAGTATTCTAATGCCTAGAAATGAGATATTTAAGGACAAAACTTGGCTTTTTTTTCATTTTCGCTTTCAGCAATAACGTATATAGTATAGGTCCATATATCTTGAGTTTTATGCTGACTGGTTGGTGCATTCTTGGTCAGATCTGTTCTTGTACATGTCTTCTTCCATTTAGGATATAGAAAATGTATATTGGACAACCAATGTTGATATTATAGCTTTCATGTCTCCCCTGCCCTATTTATGTAAATGAAAAAGTAATTTCAAATCATCATCTTTAACAAAATTGTAGCTATTCTCTATCAATACTATGTATTATTTAATGTAACCTTCATTTGATTACATGTGTCTAAAATAGCATTCTGCATTTAGCAGTAGCATATAATTTTCCACAATTATAATTCTTTGATGATAGATTCATATATGTTTTTTATTGAATCTGTCTTCTCTGATTTAACTTAAAGAAAATGTATGTAAGACAATGAATGTTTTTATTAGAGGTCTAAGATCTGCCCTCTACCAAATGAGAAAACCAACACAAATGTTATTATTGCATGTTAATATTCTTAAACTTTTCAAAAGTTTAGCATATTTATTAGCACACTAAAATCAAAAATGACACATAAATGGGCGAAATGACCAATGTTTCACTTTCAGCAATAGTTGTTTATATTTTTAGTTGAATGGTGATTAGTTGACATATTTTAGATCATATATATTCAACTATGTGTCTTGTTATCTTCAAAGCATGGAAAATGTGTTTTAAACACAAATATACATATTAGAGATAAAATTACTACACTACTATATTTTTAAAAGATTACTCAAAAATAGCATAGTGCGAAATAATTTTGTAATTTCACAGTTTACTCTCATATGAATCAAAGGATATGTCTTTATATAGACATGATTGTTCACAACTCTCGAACTTAATCCAGCAACAGCCTGATTTTTCAAATCTCCCTGGTTCTATGTTAGAGCTGCATTTAAGTCATTTTAAAGGTAACTGGTCAACTGGTACCCAAGACAAGTCGTACCCAAGCATATGTTTTGTTTTGAATCAAGTGTTGGACTGGGAATGTGTAAAGATATACATATTATAACTGTAACATACTGTTCAGAAGTTTGAAGAATTTTCAGAAGAAATTGATATAATTTTGTAACATTTTGAGCTTTGAGTGTCAATTTATTTTGACTATTATTTTATATTGGATGTTCGAGTGAAGAGATATATGTTAATTCCACACATTCATAATCATTTTTTTAAATATTGTATGTTTATGAGTGTTTGGAACAAGTGTCAGATTTAATTCATCTTGGAAGATGGTATTATTATAAATGTATTGATTCATCAAATCTTGGGCCTAATTTCTTATTAAACAGATAATCTATTTGTCTAGGATTTCATATTATCAAAAGTCATATTCATAAAATTTAGCAAAAAATATTTTGAATAATATAATAATAGTATACAAGTAATAATATAGTATAATATTAATATCAAATATTATTGTGGTACTTATTCATACATGATATACTATTACACTTAGTATGCATGTGCATAATCCAATTTAGTTCCAATTGGAAAAAAATTAACAGATTAAACTTCCTTTAAACTTTCTCAAAATGCTCAAATTAATTGTTTGATTCATTTGTAGAAAAGTCACTGTTGTAATTATATTTATTTATATATATGTTTGACAGAAAATGTTGTGAACAAGCACTCCAAGCACTTGTTTTATTAGTAAAAAAGCGATTCAAGTTAAATCAATATGCTTTACTTAATCCATTGAGAAAAAATGTCTTCTAAATTCAAAAAAATATTGAGGCTTATTTGAGTCACATTATAACATGAAAACATAATTATACAAACTCAATTTGTTTTCCTAATATGCACCCATAATACTGGAAATAACTTGGGTACCAGTTATCTTGGGTACGACTTGTCTTGGGTACCAGTTGTCTTGGGTACGACTTGTCTTGGGTACCAGTTGACTAGGAAGCATTTTAAAGGTCTAAGTTGCTCATGACACCACAAGCTATTCAGATATGTAAGATCTCTAAATAATTTTTATAGTTCTGAGAAACTCATCCTCAAATATTGTCCAACGATGTGCACTTTGTTGTTTATTGCCACATGGACAAGTAGCAAAACACCCTTGACTAGAAACTTTGTTTAGCAATTTTCGCTGCCTTTTGCCATTTTACATTTGCGAATTGCCAAGGACATATTATGTTTCTTGTGTTGCTACGAAGGTTTGTTTGTGAGTACTGGTACAAGACACCCATCTTTGATATATCTTCAAATAGGTAATGCACTTTGAGATTCATATAGTAATTTAGAATGCTACCTTGAAGGACATAAGAAACTTTAAGAGCTCTTTTTAACTCTCATCCTTCTTTGCAAGCAACATTCTGTATCATCAGACTGAATACAAATTCTCTCAACATTGAACTCCTTTGTCTTGTCTGCAGCACTGTAATAGACATGGGCCATAAGAAGAGTGTCAACTTCTTCATGATCAGTATTTGATAGATAAGTTGCAACTATCAGTTTTGCAAAGTTCAATAGCAGCTCTGCCATAAGTGATATTCATCCAATTTTAGAGATACAGTAACATTGCTTCACAAACCAAAGACAGCTTACCATTTTGTAATCCTTTCCAAAATCATCTTGTTGGCCGTTCTTCATTTCACAATGTTTACGTTTACCAAAATATCCCCAAGCCCAATATCCATCATGAACTTCCTAATTACACCACCCTTAGGTGTAATATGGAAATCACCAAGCCTTTGACAACATTGCATTTGATATGAGGGAATTCAACCAATATGGCTTGATCACTGGTTATAATTATCACAGAACTATACCCCATTATTTTTAAATATATTCCAAGTATTGTACTATATATTGCATAGATTCATGAGCAATTTGCAACATATCATAACCAGAAAAGCCCAATGGACAAAGATAGAGAATACCCGCCCCATTTGCAACTCAACTTTAAATGTACATAGTATTGATCTAGAATAGCGACAACTTTGTTAAAGTCTATACTTTGAAATTGTTTGGTTTTTATATTTCTGGTTATTTTTTCAAAATAAATGGGGTAGGGGAGATATGTAAGCTCTAATATAATGACAGGCTTTCCAATATACATTTTTAAATACCTTAAATCAAAGTAGGCAGGCAAAAGAACAGATTTGTTCAAGAATCCATCAACCAATCAGCATAAAACTCAAGATATAAGGAACTATATGTTATTGCTAACAGTGGAAATGATGAAAAATGCCAAATTTTGTTCTTAAATGTCTAATTTCTCTACACTAGAATACAAATGAAGGTCCTGAAACATTAATTATAGCAATCAATAACACATAAAGAATAGTTACATCTTTGTTAAAGTTTATACTAGTAGTTTGAAGTTATTTTTTATATTTTCCAGTCATCTTCCCTAATAAATGGGGTAGGGGAGAACTGAAAGCTCTAATATGAACATTGTTTGTCTACTATACATTTTCAGTACCTTAAATGGAATAAGACATGTACAAGAACAGATTTAATCCAAAATGTATCAACCAGTCAGCATAAAACTCAAGATATGAGGATCTATATGTTACTGCTGAAAGCAGCATTGATTAAAAAATGCCAAGTTTTGCCCTTAAATGTCTCATTTCTAGCCACTTGAATACCAATAAAAGTTCTGAAAAATCTTAAAAATATTAAATAACACATAATATTGATAATAGAATAGCTACAACTTTATGAAAGTCTATAATTTCAAGTAATTTTATTTTTTCATATTTCTCGTTTATTTTCCATAATTGATGGGGTAGGGGAGATCTGAAAGCTCTAATATGAACATTGTTTGTCTACTATACATTTTCTATACCTTAAATGGAAGAAGACATGCACAAGAACAGATTTGATTGAAAATGCAACAATCAGACAGCATAAAACTCAAGATATGAGGAACTATATATAACTGCTGAAAGTGAAAATGATAAAAAAAATGCCAAGTTTTGTCCTTAAATGTCTCATTTCTAGCCACTTGTATACCGCTATAGGTTCTGAAATATCTTAAAATCATTAAATAACACATAATATTGACATAGAATAGCTACAACTTTGTTAAAGTTTATAATTTCAAGTTATTTAATTTTTCATATTTTTCGGTAATTTTCCATAATAAATGGGGTAGGGGAGATCTGAAAGCTCTCATACGAACATTGGTTGTCCACTATACATTTTCTATACCTTAAATGGAAGAACATATGTACAAGCACAGATTTAATCAAAAATGCAACAACCAGTCAGCATTAAACTCGAGATATAAGGAACTATATGTTAATGCTGAAAGCGAAAATGATTAAAAATGCCAAATTTTGTCCTTAAATGTCACATTTCTAGACACAAGTATACTAATGAAGGTCTTGAAACATCTGAGAAACCTTACATAACACAAAATATTGATATAGAATAGCTACAACTTTGTTTGAGTTGAACATTTTGACTTCTTGTAGTTTCCATTTTTAGCCATTTTTTCTAAAAAATTCAAGGTATGTCTTCTTCGGACCAGTATTTAGATATGTTCGCAAGAGTTATATGCTTCGCAGGCGAAATCTTTTATGCAGGACACCCTAATAGAATAAAAAATACACAGAAATTCCATCCAGCACATAAAGTCATTTTTTCCTTAACGGAGCCTCTTAGAAAATTTTCCACCCCGAGTAACAGTCCAACATAGTCAAAAATTCAAAATCAGTCACAGTCAAGAATTTGCAAAAATGGCTGCAATTCTCAAACCCGATAACAGAAGGGCTTGCGTTTGGTGGCCCAGTTTCATACTTCGCTTGGAGTCAAAGCCGTACAAACTTATGCTACCATGAAGAAAGTATAAACGGAGTATAAACCAGCTAGAACTACAATTATGAGGTGGCAGAAGAGATCCAAAAGTGATGACTAGACCCGTGATGACAACTCCAAACATGAGTGGCAAAACTCCATAAGTCACGGTTTGGGAAATTTCTAAGGGTGTTCTACCTAACAGGCATCAAAAGTTCATAACATGCAAAGGCCAATAGTTTGAAAAAATGTGACAATGTGCAATATACATCCATTAAATCTAGGATGTGCTCCTAGTAATTTAGTACCTCAAAATGTATTTAAAGAACATACTTCTAATAGCTACACAAAATGGTATTTGTTGATTAATTATTTCATATTTTCAATTTTAATTCCTTTTGACATGACAATAACCTGTCTCACCCTACCAAAACTCACCAAGTTGATTTTATAATAACATCAACATAGATTATCAATCAACATGAAAATTTTTAGAATAATCAAAATGTCTCTAAGGAACATTCACTGAAAATTTCATGGAAAAATATCAATTGTTGCTAAAGTTAGAGGATATAGTGCATTACTTCTGGGACAACCCTCGTACTGTATGTGTGCACCCAGAATAAAAATGGTGGTTAAATCCTATAATATAGTATTGCTCCGTCAAAACATGGACGTAATAATCACTGATTCACGACCACGCATGTACTAAATTACTTTTAGGTTATTTAAGCAAAGGGATTTATTCTTTCTATCACATTGATGAACAAAGCCCATTGATAACTTTGACGTTTCTCATCAAAGAACTTATAGATTTATGGACAATTTTACAGTGATAACTAATAGGGTTTAAAGTGACCCTATTTTACCAAAGCTAGCGATTATTCGGACAGTTCATACAAAATGCTATTTCAATATAGATGAGTAAATCCAACGAGTATTCTTAGAGCTCGTTTCCCAACAATACTGTAAACCATATTAGATCTTTTGTATCTCAATTACACGAGGCAAATGTCATTCCATATCTTAAAATACTAATTTTCCAGACCACTACCGATTTTGTTAACAAGGCAAGCCAACATGGTATCCAGATCCTCGCATCTGAAAGTTTTGCTAATGATCCTCGACAACAAGTACGGAATTTGAAGGTAGTAATGTTAATCAATTCGTATTTGTAAATATCACAAACATACTATATTGGAGCAAGAATGTGAATAGTCTTTCATGATTCAAAAAGGGGTACAATTAAAATCTAAATTTTTTATACTATCTTTAACACCACTCTTAAAAATGAATTACTTGAGTATTTCCCAAGTATTTCCCAAGTATAAAAATTACTTAAAGTTACTTAGTTTTACTTCATTTTACTTAGGTTTAACTTATATTGTCATTTTGAGTTTTTTAATTGCTTAATTATGTAAATGAGTATTACAATTACCACAGTAAGTATTTCAATTTCTCTCCTTGCATTAGTAAATTCACCATAAATGAATTACTTAAAAATTACTTAAAAATTATTCAGTAGTTCAAGATTATTTAAGTAATTTTTGACTTAAAATGAGTAGTACAATTTCTCAATATAAGGAAATCCAAGTAATAATTTTTAAGAGTGACATACTTCATGACATGAACCACTCCTTATCTCCGTCAAAATTTTTACTGTAAAAGTATATTATATGATATATTATTAGAGGCCCTCCTTTTCTGATGCTTGTATGAGCTCTGTGCAAGAAATAGCGGAAGCTGTTGAAGCACAATGCGGAGAGGATATCTAAAACAAGCTGCTGGTTGTCATAATATAATATCCGCCGCCCCATGGCCAATGTGCAATAACCAACGCTCAATATTTTCTCAATCACAAGCTCGCTGTGTATAATAATAACAATAAGTGTTTATGTATCTCGTGGGAGTAAGAAGCAGAATATCTCGAGGGGCCCTGTCTTTTTTACCTTTGCCGATTTTCCAATCTTTGCCGATCCTTTCTTGTTTTTCATTTATAACCAGCTGCAGGTTTCTTTTAACGCTATAATGTTTTCATCATCAATGTTATACAGGGTGGGCCAAAAAACGCCACATTTATTCTCAAGACACTATAACTTTTTCATTTTCCAACCTACATACACCTTTTGCAGTTATATAGAACCAGAGTTCCTAAGTAATAAAACAATGTAACAAGTCCTTCAACTTGTATTGCATTTGATCTAAAAGAGAAGTTCAGTTGGTCCGCCAGCCTCTGTGGTGTTAACTTTTAGTCTTAGTCGCCTTGCTGATATAGCAGTATCAATGAAATGGTGACTAAGTTTCTTTCAACCTGTCTTAATTGCCAGCTTTAGTTGAGCAATTTTTGAAATTCGGTGCCTTTATACCATCTCCTGGATACCTTAACCCATAACCTATACTCACTGGGGTTTACATCAGTACTACTAAGTCGTTAGTCATCAGGCCGTATCAGTTCAGGTACATTATGCAAATTCTGTTAATTTCTCATGGCACACCACATGTTTAAGTTAGACGATGGTGACATATTCTATTCAAGTAAAAGTGTACAATTCATAATGGCTAGATTGCATCTTCAAGTCTCATTTGGTATGCAAATTATGATTTTGGATCAAAAGTCAAAAAGGTTATAGCATTTTAGAAAAAAGTGGCGTTTTTTGGCCCACCCTGTACAATAAGAGCTTTTTGGTTTGCTTGTTTAACTATTTCCATTCCATTTAATACTTATCTTGATTTTGACATTTTTAATTCTTTTGAGACCGAAGGACAATTCAAAAGTCACACATTTTCATTATTTCCGATTTTAAATCATTTCTTCATCTTTCAGATTGTAGTTCGACAGTTAGGTAGGATAATTAACATTTTGAGACTTCACCAAATGTTTTTGTATTTTAGATGACATATATGAATAATTGATATTAGAAAAACATCTTTCAGAAACACGGTGTCAGAATAATTGTTGGAAACTTCTATGAGGATAAAGCCAGAATTATTTTCTGTGAAGCATACAAAGAGAAAATGTATGGCAGCAAATACGTATGGATTATCACAGGTGGGGTCTACATTTATTTCAATTTATACTAGGTCTGTTTATTTCAATTGCAGCGGAGTGCAAATGAAATACTTGTTAAATCCCTTCTGACGTTCGAAACAGGTACTGAACTATTTTAAAACCTGGAAGTATTTAGCTTCATAACAAATTGTTCAGTAGATATCTAAGCACAAGTACCAAAGGGGAAAGAATAAGGAACATTGCAACGATACAAACACAACCATTCATAGGGAAATAAACCACCAATATCCCAATTGTATGGTATTTCTTATTTATGAACTATCGCATGATACATCACATCAAAGAATTGGTACATATCTGATCCTAAATCCGACAAAACATATCATAAAATAAATTTCACAGGAATGACCATATACATGTTATTTGATTCCTGTCATAGCTGTAAAATTTAGACAAAACTCAAATGTGATTTACATAGTATAAATCCACTTGCAAGTGAGCTTGTTGCTATAGGGAGTGCTTTTAAACAACCTTTCTGGGTAAATAATTGTTTATCATCGCTTGGGGTGGAAAAGCTGTAAAGTACACCTCGAAACCAATTACTTATTTCAGTTTATCTCCAGAATGGGACTCTAAAATATGTATCATTGGTCATTTTTCATTTAGAAAATAGCCCTTTACGATCTATATCACGATTCGCTAGAATTGTTCCACAATCCTATTCAAAATGTCATTAAATGCGTTAATCAATTTTACAATTAATTCATCAATTCTCTAAAAGGAAGTCATATGTACGTGAGGGGAAAACATTAGCCAGAACAAACAAACCATAGTGAGTCAAAAAATAAGTTACCGTCTCTCTCAAGTATTTAAGCTGAATTATTACGATATGCAGTTTTTCATCATCCAGTAATATTCCTTCAGCATCGTCAATTTGGTCTTTACACTTCTTCAGGAAGCGAAGCTTCTTGAACGCTTCTATGCGTTTTAATTTTTCCCAGGTCCTAACTGCAATGCTTGGTCTAAACTAATAATATTTGATAAATAATATTATTTTTCCCAAACACGCTCTATACCTTTGATTTGATCCTGAATGTGTACTCTAACTCAACTATGTTACTGGCCATGGGATTTGGTACTCATTTGGACTAAATATTATTACAAGTGTATTGACCTGCGTTTTATAGCTGAGTATAATTTATTTCAAGCTGGCATTTGGAAAGAATGAACACAATTGTGACATAAACAAATAGTTAATAGATAAAGCGGCATCGTTAAAATGTCGCTGATGTAATCTGTGATTTATGCAAATTGCATGTTTTGTTCAGATCCACAATTGGCCACACAGGCTATTCCACGAAAGAACTGTCCAATCGTGATGAGAGGATATGTTTCAAAATACTACACATACTGCTACTCTCTAAAAATCCAATCAAAACTTGTGGAATAGCTTAAGAAGGGGTTACTAGTTTTAAGTTTTTTAAGTTTAAAATAGTTTATTTTTGTGTCACTGATATTACAATATACATATAAAATACATAATAAAAACAACATTTTGTAACATCACCAGCCGGTGCCGACTTATGAGACACAGTATACATTATATCTGAGTGTCACCCATTACTACCCCCAATGGGCAGCTTGGGTCAACATTCTTACAATGCAGTTATTGCAGATTGAGTTGAATAATCAGAACACATGGTCTCCTTATAAGCCTGATTATGTCAAAATGACAGTATTAAATCACAATATATTTGTTGCTGAGTTTGCCGAAGAGCATACTCATTACGTATATTATTCCCCCAGGTTTCTACAGTAGGGAATGGTGGAAGGGTAACGCCGATGATGATCCACATGACTGTACAACTGACCAGCTAGAAGAAGCAATCAATGGCTACTTCACTGGTGACGCTATGCCGAAAAGTCCCGAGAACACACGAGGAATCTCAGGAAAGGTGAGTGAAGATTCCGAGATAGAGTCAGCAAAACAAAAAGTTTTGCACAATTCAAAACAAAGCATCGGAGTTGTGTAATTTAGGATGTGCACTATTATTGCTTATCAATATATACGCGTTACAACAAAACGATTATTTTCGACGAGTTAACAATTTACGAACAAAAAGGCTTTAGAGCAAATTCCTTAATTGAAAAAGGTCACATTTCAAATTGGATAAAGACTATGATGTAAGTCTCACTCTGGCATACATATTGGAGTCCAAAATGGTCCCAATACATATAGGCACGAGGGGCCAACGAGTTCAATTTAGTTTTGCTTTTGGCCTTTTTGTCTTTTGAGCTCCCACAATGTCCCATGGGACATAAATCAACAGAGATCGAACCGTTCCCCATTAGTAAACATTGGACTTGAGTTCCTCTTAATCTTAATTAATTTAAAAGAAGTAAATATACCATGCTTTATCTGCTCCGATTAGTTTCCATACTACTTGATACTAAGTAATGAGAGTATGGCATTCCCAATGACCTAATTATTCATCATAATGTCAAATCCAGCGTATTTATTTTCTTAATTTAGAACAAGACATTATATCTATTGATATGATAAATCTTTGAACTACATTGGAGTTTAATTGAGTTGTCATTTCAGACTTACGAGGAGTTCATTGCTGAGTATAACAACTTCACTGCGAATGCCTCTTTGACTGGTCACCAAGAAGCTCCATACGGTTACGACAGCGTTTGGACTGTGGCATACATGTTGAATAGAAGTCTTGAATTCATGACAAAAAGTAGTAAGATTAATCAGATCGCATTAACTCAAGTCACACTACTCTCACACAGGAATCATTTGTTATGAACAAACATAAAATGAGTACAATTCTTAAAACAACTATAATCAGTTCATCTCCTATCATGACCAATGATACGATTAATCTGGGTGCAATTAGTCCTGTCGTCATGTCAATCTTAAAATGTGTGGGGTATTAAAACAGTAATGTAAGCGGGAATCATATGATGCGAGACTCGACATTCATCATACCTATGTCCGATCATAAGTTTGTATAGTTGGGTTTCAAATATTAATTGTATGACTTATACGAGACCAATGTTAATGCAACAAGAGGGAATCAAACCTACTTATACATGTTTTTATCTGTTTTGAAAAATTCAATATGAGATGTATATTTCTTAGTTTTTTTTAAGAAATCTACAAATATTCCGTTGCGGTTTTATCTTTACATCGTCATTTCAATCAATGTCATCATTTTTCTCAGTTACCTTGAAATATCAAGACGGGTGTCCTTCAGCATTTATTAAGCAGTAAAAAATTAATTTGCATCATGGGTGACGAAACGTTTCTACTTTCCTGGTGAATGTCGAGTCTCACGACATACGAATGTAAATTTAGACGATCTGTCTGCATGGCTGTATAAGATGCCCAGGCGCTGTTTTTGTTACATAAATAGTCTTATGTTTCATAAAACTAATTTTAGCTCCCCAATTTGTCTGTAAACTGTAGACTTGAAAACCATGGTCAAATTCACTATTAAGTTCGTAATGTCAGGTCTGATAGTAAATGGTATTACATTAGCTTGTTATCGAATTAAGGAGTATATTAGAGTCGATTAATGTCGTATTATTTTGCAATTAGAAACATTTTTTTGCAGAATGGGGAAAACGCTTAGAAGACTTTGAATACAGAGACAAACGCATGGGAGATGTATTTTTTCGCATGATGGCGAACACATTCTTCGAGGGAGTATCGGTAAATTAAATGTGTATCGTAACGATCAGTGAAATTGTGAAAAGCATGCCTTCAGTAAATTGTGATACTGATGTCGAGTAAATAATTATGATTCGATATATATAGCTAAGTCATATGGCTAAAACACATATAACATTTGAAATGTCACATATCTCTAGTACAATTTTAGTTCAGGTTGAACCAAAAAGGTAAGCCAAACAAATATTAATAAATCAATAAACCATCCGGTTTTATAGTCAGTCTACATATATGCTCAAAATGCCTGCCTCGTCTCTGGAGGCAAATATATAAGAAGAATATTTAAGAAACTAAACAAACTAATCATTTAAAAAATGGTTTGAAGGCCTATAATTAATTGTTTTATTCACGCCTAACCATCGACAAGGTACAGTCACGTGACCGTGACAAAATATGCCGTAGTACACTTTTGATGTACAATGTCACTATTAACTGATTTTAAGCAAAGACTATGATGTAGGTTTGATGCAGGTTTTCAAAAATAAATTTGAGGAATAAAAAAGGATTTCCTGTTTGATTTCGCGTGTATTCGATTTAAAAGACATTTATTTTTCTAATTACGTTAAAAGATCTTCGAGCAGTGCTCGATTTTTTTCGTTGTACGTCTACCCATACAATTGTTCGGTTGGGAAATGTTGTTTTTTACACATTTCCTTTGATAATTTTCTCCCCTGACGTCTCGGAGTGTCGAATATTTTAATGAGAATGTGTTTCTCTAAACTGCACAATTTAAGTCGGGTTAAGATTTAATAAATATTCATGCATTTGGTATAATTTAAAAAATCAGAAATGTACGTTGTCAACTCACAGTGTATGTTGTCCCTGTAACTGAAATTCATGAGTTATAATATTAAACATTGCAATGATTTAATTTCAAAATGCATTAAGGGTTTATGCGTAACAAGTGATGTTCAACGAACATGCTCCTGTATCCCTAGTACAGATAAACAGGTAAACGTGATTTTTTCGTTGAATGCTATTTTATTTTATGAAAGTGTTAATATGGTGATTAATATGTGACCATGGCGTGATATCTTCCGACCTTTTTGACCACTCGGCGTCGGTACGTTACGTTATGTTTAGTTGCACTTTTATGAATTTTAATAATCTCAAGGAGTTCACGGAGAGATCTATACTAGCAAGATGACTTTCAAAATTTATGCTATAGGGTCTCCCGAAAGTATGGGCCCCCTAGGCAGACATATACCAATGTCTCCATAGTATGTGTCATATATCATTTTAAAGTTCATCCAAAGTTATATTATTTGCCGAGTATCATGGTTCAACTCACAAATGGAAAAAGTTACAGAAATACAAAAGTTAGTGTTTGGCCAAAATTAAAGTCAGTTTTACACCAAACAATAGTCGGTGTGTCTCCTTAGCCGCCATGTTCTTTCCACATCAAAAGTGTACTACGGTATATTTTGTCAATGTCACGTGACTGTACCTTGTCGATGGTCAGGCGTGTTATTACCTAATTTTTTTTAACATATTATTTATTTCCTTCATAATCAAAAAATACACAATTTATTACCTAATAAGTATTAACATACTCTCTTTACAAGGGGCCAGTGCTATTTGACAGTAATGGAGACAGAAGAGGCCTCACTCAGATCGAGCAGCTGCAAAATGGTTTAGAAACAACAGTCGCTATATATAATCCGAGACAACAAGGAAAACAGACGATCAGATGGTATAACAAAATCAACTGGATAGGTGAAAAAACACTTGTTGCAAATAATATTTATATAAATGATCGTAGATTATTAAGTTGAAGCAACATACACGCACATAAGTCTGTCAGCCCTTTTCCTAATTCAGAAACAATTGCAAAATTTGTTCCTGCTTCTCCATCACATCTATTTTAAAATACATATCGATCAAAACTGATTATCACCATAATATGTGGACGGGTTTTAGCCACACCCTGTAGATAGTGCGTTATAGTCATTTATGTTTGAATGTTAATATTATTAATTAATTCACGAAACGAAAGTAAAATCTAAAGGTATTTGTTTCATAAGAAAGGGAAAACTATCAAAAATTAGGATATAAAAACACGACCGAAGTTTACCCGTTAATATGATCAAATTAGTGCTTTCATGAACACGGGACAGTTTCGACATTTTAATAACATCATATCATTATTCTTATTAGGCGATACTCCTCCCTCTGACTCTATGAAACAAAAGATGGTGCCACGAGTAATCTCATTTGCTTTGCTGCTGTGTATGTCTGCCTGTGCCTGTCTTGGAATCATTCTCACAATTGGCTTCATCATATTTAATGTCAAATATAGGGACCACAGGTACACATCCCGTTTCTATAAAATAACTACTGACCTCTATAGGTTAACCGTCGAGTTTATGTCCAGATAATGAAAAACGAGGCCGCTCAAATAGTTATTTAATAGAAAATGTCCTCGGATATTACAAACCAGAAAGTTGTTAATTGGAGGGAGCATTTGTGTTAATGTTATTAATGTGAATTAGTATAAAGTGTTGATATCATTTGCAAGTCTGGTAGTATATGCCTTATATGCAATCAGGTCCAATAAATAACCCTAGTTTAGCAGAGTGGAACCTTTTCTTCCGGTGTCCTACGTTACCTGACGTATATTATTACATTTTTCCACGCGCATCGAAATTTAGGTTCTGGTGGTTGGCGTCCGACGTATGTAACAACTTCTAAAAAGTTCCTATAACTTAACAAATACTGTTTCGACTGACATTTTGTCAAAATCATCTACACGTTCTCAGAAGTTCAAATCTGACCTTAGATTTCAGGTTTGAACTTCAATGACCTTCTTAAGGTAAAAAAGGTCAAAATGGTATTTTTCATCTTGTTTCAAATTGACCATTTTTTCAAAATCATCTACAAGATCTCAGAAGTTCAAATCTGACTTTAGATTTGAGATTTGACATTCAACGACCCTCTCAATGTCAAAAAGATATTTCTCGACTTGATTCAAATTAATCATTTTTTAAAATCATCTACAAGTTCTCAGAATTTCAAATGCGATTTCATATTTGAGATTTGCCCTGCATTGACCTTATCAAGGTCAAAAAGGTCAAAAAGGTATTTTTTCAATTGCTTCAACTTGGTTCAAATTGACCAATTTTTTCAAAATCATCTACAAGATCTCAGAAGTTCAAATCTGATTTTTAGATTGAAGACTTGACCTTCACTGACCTTCTCAAGGTAAAAGGTCAAAAAGGACTTTTTTCAACTTGCTTGAAATTGTCCACTTTTTCAAAACCAATCTACAAGTTTTCAGAAGTTCAAATCTGACAAAATTGAACTAATAATATTGTGAGCAACGAGGTGGTGACATTTTGAAATGTTAATGCCTTGTCTTTCTTGACTTTGTCCTTTGCAGGTTCATCAAAATGAGTAGTCCAAATCTCAACAACGTAATATTGGCGGGCGCTTTACTAGCGTTTGGATCAATCATATTCGGTGGTATAGATATTGGATTAGTTGAAGAACATGATGTCCTTCTCATGTGTAAAGTAAGTTTGCTTTGCATTTTACATTCAGACGGCTTACAGTCTATGAGACACTATCAATATTATATAACAGACAATGGCACTACACATAGCAATACGGAGAGAAGTAATGTGTGTGTCGTTAATTTCAACTCACAAGGATGGGGCAACCTTCAATATAATTTTATTATAAAAACGAAATTGTATACTTTTCGAGCGTGATACAGGACATTACTTGTCAAAACATGAGTAAGACAAGATAAAAAACACGTTACTATAATTACAAATCCTAACCTCGTAAAACCCAAAGGATCAGGAAGTAAAATCAACATATCTGTAATGAAACATTTATAACTGATTGTACAGTAATTGTATACGATACAAATAATATAAGTTAATTAAACTAATTTTGTTTAGATCCATATTTGGCTTCTGGCTCTCGGATTTTCTCTTGCATTTGGAGCAATGTTCAGCAAGACATGGCGGGTCCATAAAATCTTTACAAACAAAAAGATGCATAGGACGGCAAGTGTAACTTTTTATTATTAAAATCATCATAATGCCAAGATGAGTGCAAAATATGCACAAATTTCCTTTAATGTTCAGAACAAGAGGTCATCACCTAAAAAACTCAGTAATAATTGTTGTTTTTTATTCCATAAACACTGGCTTAGAAGCAACTAGAAACTCGCATACTTATTATATGTCCTTGTATTGTAGTGGGTATGTATTATGTCATGATCAAAATCTCTGTAAAGAATAATATTTCAATAATTCTGGCGCGATATTATACAATATTTTTAGAGTATTCCTTCTAACTAAAAATGTCGTCTATCTTCATGGTTAAATGCCATTTACACAACCCTCAGATCGGAAAGAACATATTTTAGTTTTGAATATGTATAAGGTGCCATCAATGTAATAATTTAGAACAAAACCACGTTTACTTTCTAGATATTTCAATTTACGTTTCTGTATTCCTAATTGCAAAACGTGTACGTATTTTAGGTAATACGTGACTCTCAGCTATACATCATAGTGGGAGTACTAATATTCATTGATACAGTTGTATTATGCGTATGGGAAGTTGTGCAACCACTACAACTGGTAAAGACGAGCTATATTCTGGACAAATGGGTAATTTGATTATGCATCAACCTCTATTTTAACAAAATATTGGTAGTCTTGCTTAAAGACTGTTTACACCCCCCCCCTCATGTACTTCATCTTTGTTGTGTTGGGAAGGTGAGATACATAAGGGTTATGTACTGGGAGGTTTTGGATATAGGGTTTATCCAGAGGGAGATATGCATATTTACCTGAGGGACCGTAGAGACCGAAGGTAGATGTGCATATCTCACGAGGGATGAACCCAATATCCAAACCGACCGTACATAACTGCTTTATCCTATACCAAGTAGAGTTTTCAGGGGCATATGGCCATTTCAATAGTACAAGGTGTAAAAATAAACAAATCATTCATATGCAAAGTCATTTTATTGCATTACCGGAAGCGGGAAGATATGCACCGGAAGCGAGAAGATATGCACCGAAGTGGTCTTTAGGCAAGACTAAATATCGGCTCATATTTTGATTTCAGTAGGGTATAGTTGAAATAAACAATTGTGTATGGCATAAGGAAAGATTTGGCATTAAGTTTTGCTAAAAGGAAAATTTCAATTGCAGTTGGATCCAGATGACGATAATCAGATGCTGATACCTCAGACGTTGTTCTGTGAGTCAGAACACATGTGGTATTTCTCAGGGGTGCTTTGTGCTGTTAAAGGTACACAACCTTTTAATTGGTGTGCAGAGGGGCACCTCGAGTATATAAAAGTCGAGTTGAGCTGCAACAAAGCAATATTTCATCCAGTTACTTTTATTTTCATACACGTTGTAACTAATATTCCATGGTTTCTACATGAAAAGCATTTATCGTTTCCACTTTGTGTTACCTTACGCGAAACTCCCCATGAAAAGGACAAGGCAAGGTAGTTTCGAAAGTTAAACCTAGTTTTAGACGCAGATTGGATAATCATATTTGAATAAAAAGAACATCCAATTATTTATGGTGCATGTAAATAGTGATACATCCACATGTAAATGCGATGGTAGCGTCAATTGAAATTTTCCAATGGATAAAAAATATTTATATTTTCAGGCATTTTGTTAATGTTCGGTGCATTTCTAGCTTACGAGACGAGGAAAGTTAGAGTCCCAGCATTAAATGATTCTAAATTTATCGGTAAGCATTTTCTGACGACCACTGCTGAGATTTGCACATGTAAAAATATTTAGTCCAAATGGGAATTAATTGTTACTTAATTAGTTTCTGAGCGAATAACTTCTTTTTACTTTGTAACACATAATATTTGAAGGTATCGGCGAGTATAACGGATTTTTACTACATAGTGCGATATCATTTTAGGAATTAGGACATATAGTTTTTATATTGTGTATCATTATGAGATTTCAATTTATAAGCGTGTATATAACGTCTGTTCTTTTCAGGTTTAAGCATAACGTCGTTGTACCGTGCATAGATATTATTTTCAGGTATAACGCCGTTGTTCTGTATAATACTATTTTATTTTCAGGTATAAGCGTGTATAACGTCGTTGTGCTATGTATGATAGGCGTACCTATAGTTCTCATTATGAAAGACAAGGTGGATGTTACATACGCTCTAATATCCACGTTTACGTTCTTCGCCACTGCAACCACACTCTGTCTTGTCTTCATACCAAAGGTACACTCATCTTAATTTTTACCATCCTGTTTCCTCATTGGACTTCGTGAAAATGCGTGTACATGTATATTTAATAATCGTGGTTTATTTTATTTTATATCTGCAAAAAAACATTTTCAAAACTTCAGAGTTTTGCTAATTATTTCGATATCCACATTTGGTCCGAAATTGATGACGAATAACCTTTGATGTCATAGCTTGGAGTTGCAACTGTGTTTTAGATATTAAACAGAAATCATGAAATGCACACTGGTACAATACTGACCAAGGCTATACAGAAGCATCATATAAAGCGCACAACAATGCGATCCCTCATGAAAGGTGCCCTTGATGACGCCGATAGGAAGCAAATGATCAAAATGAAAGAAGAACTTAGCAACCATAAAAAACAAATACAAGTGGTAAGTCCAAAGTGTTACAATGTGCTATATACTTCAAAAGTACTCCAACGACTCCACACATACATGAAAAAAGTAACGTTCAAAATGGCGTGCATTGTAGCTTTAGACTAAAAATACGAATGTCCATATTAGGAAACCCGCCAAGCGGAAATAAGATTGATGCCAAAATCCCTAGCTATAGGGGTTCATTGCAAATCAAGTCGATTTTATTTCCATAACACTTTATTTTTAGCAACAAAGAAGGATCAGAGATCTCGAAAAAGAGAAAGGACTAGATAATAATTCGCTCCATCCAAATCATGTAGCACATATAAGTAGCAAATCAAACAGGGTATCCGAATGCCAACAGAGACTTCTTGACAGCCACGTCACAGTTAATGATGCATGTTCCAATGAGAAACAATCGACGCATAGTGCAGCGTCTGATATACCGGAAGTACCTCACGTAAATACATGTACAGGCATTACACACTTGTCTGTCAATACACCAGATGATGACATTGAGTATAAATCAAATGAAAATTCCATTAATGTGAGGTGAAAACTTCCCATTGTACCATCACCAATCTTTTTGTCTATGTCTATTTGAAGTAAGCAATAAATTATAATTCTGATACGTATCACTTGTTCTTAATTGCAACGGAGCAATCCGGTTGAATTAAAAAAGTTGAAGTGTAGTCAATTTCGAATGATGAAATATATATTTTGTTAGATGTTTGCATTCTTCAATTCGTATTTGCTTCTGAATGTCACTGGACTGATATTGAGTCTCGATATCGTATTAGTATTTTATTGTTTTGTTGAACTTTGTAAATGTTACAAATCTCTATCTTTGTAAAACGTAATAAAGAAGACACTAAGTCTTTGAATCAGATAACCTTGATTAAATATGCAGATACAAGCATATCATTAACGTTTATATTAAGTTATTTATTTTTATGAAACTTTACACAATATTGTCATTCTCATATCGTTTGAATTCATTAAAGTCCCCGTCTAAAGTTTGAAAATATTTTTTTATCATTCATTTACTACTTGTCAGGACTTAAAAAGTAATTTTAGAGATTTTTGAACAAAAAAAAAATTTTGATAAAAAAGTTGTGAGCATTTCATTCCTCAAATGTTCAAATTTCCCGCCATTTTTCAAAAAAAGTTGAAATTTCTTAATCATCAAATATTTCTTAATGCATTTCAAAAAAGATTATCTTTTTAACACCAATGCAAAGATTGAACAAAGGACACACTATTTCAATAATAAAATGCCATATTTGATGGGCCACTTCAATGTATTAGCAATCAAAAATATTTTGAAACATTAGTGATGTCACAAAGGTACCAAAAACTTTTTGAAAAAAATTGAAATTTTTTTTTCGATGCCAATCTTTTCTTAATATGTTAGACTTTCATAAAAAACCAATGTTGATTGTTTAACCAGATCAAAAGGAAGAATAAATTATGTTTTAGATATTATTGTACCATTGGTTTCTATGAGAACTAAAATTTTGAAATGCATTTTTCTCAGAACCATTTTCATGCACTGATAAGTTAATTTCTCGCTTATTTATGAACCGATTTTCTTAATTTTTTCGGCAAAAAACATGGGAGGATGAATGCTATGCATTGGTATGAATTGTGGCTAATTAGAAGATATGAGTGACCTCTAAAAGTTGGTTTTAAATAAATTCACAAATTTTGGAACAAAAAGTCTATCAAAAACCACATTTTGAAATTTAAAAAAAAGGTTTCACATATCACACTTTGATAACATTAGGTAAGACTACAATATAAGCCAAAGTGGTTTAAACTTTATATGGGGCCTTTAAGAATTAACGGCATCATGGGGAGGTAGCATGTGAGCCATTACACTCGTGCAGGCTTTACATTTTATGTATGAGCACCATAACGTTATTTTCCCGAGAATACACTACGTTGAAATCTGTCGTTAGTAGGTTCAAATAATCACCATTTTGGTTAAGACATCCGTATTCTATATTTATAGAGGTCCTCATACAGCGGCAGATTGTTTGCTATTTGCAGTTTAATCATATCATGAATTCTATCCATTTCCTCTTGCAGCTTTACATTGGAATTATTGTTGCTCGTGTAAAGAGATTCTTTATTTTCTGTTTGGATTTGACCAAAGCATTTACTATGGATCAATGCTCCATACCATTCCGGATATTCGAACCACTTATTTTTAACCTTCCCTTCCTCCCAGTTTAGCATCTCTCTTCGAAAGGGTAATTTGGTAGCATTACAATATGCTTGGAAAGCACCAACTGCAAAACATTTTACGCACTTAAATATTATTGTCGCAAAGCCTTCTACTTGCAAATGCTAGGTATTTTTGGCAAACTCTTCATATATTATATGACTATAAACTACTTTCTTATTTTCATGAAATAGATAAATAATTAAAATATGTGATGTTGAACTTTATTATAATTTCATGTTTCCTGCAAATGAACTTACTAGGGTTCCTTAACAGATCCTCTGTATCAATGACGATAGGTGTGTCACCTTTGGCCTTAAGTTGATGAAACAAATCGTGAGCTGTCTGATACATGTATTTTCCTTCAGGAGCCACAGCTGTTATATCTTCTACTGTAAACCAAATAAATAAGACATCGTAATTTAGATCACATGATCATTAAATTCATCCTGACAATGTATCGAAGACTGGTCCAATTATCGATGTCTTTGATCACTGTACTAGGTTACATGTACAGGTCCTATATTTGTCTAGTCAGATTTAAATTTCTGAGAACTTGTAGATGATTTTTTTGATCCTGAGAAGGTCTTTGAAGGTGAAATCTCTAATCTAGAGTCAGATTTGATCTTCTGAGAACTTGTAGATGATTTTAAAACAAAAAATGGTCAATTTGAAGCAAGTTTAATAGGCCCGTTTGACCTTGAGAATGTCATTGAAGGTCAAATCGATAGTCAGATTTGAACTTTGCAATCTCTGGACGTTTCGTTCAGAGTAATCGAGTTCGGCGGGCCAATGAAAATGTGTCCCTTCCAAAGCGATGCAACATGTGAGATATTTATGTAAATTATCACCTGAACTCTTATCGCAAATTGGGGTATTGCTAAACATCGTATTTTGGCATATTTCCATCAGAATTTTTCACTTCATAATGCCGGTAGACCTTATAAAATCAATCGCCCATTGGGGTTCTTTAAGAGTGCATCTTTTAGACTAGACTACAGTGTAGGACTTCAACTTACTCGATGTAGAATCACTTCTCAAAAAGCATTTGTATAAAGATGGTATAGTTTTTTCCGGGTGCCTGATGAGAAAAGTATGCTGGTAGCCTCTAGGTACGTAGGCATCATTATCCAATTTATCCTCAAGAAACAACGACATCTCTTTTCCAAATACAATATCATAATCTACAAAACAAGCAATGATTAGGTGGTATTGCTAAATGCAACAATGATCATGTTATGGAATTTCGAACTTAGAAGATTATGCATTTATCTACATGAGGGAAGGTACCAGGAATTCATAGTTATATTATATAATATATATTTTATTCCATTATAGTATACTATTTCATAACTTATTCAATATTATATACCATATTTTAAAATGAACATGAATGAAAAATTCTTATTCATAGACAAGGGGGTATCGTTTGATAATCAGAAATTAGACGACAAAGATAAGGTAAGAAAGGGGACTTTTATTTTTAGTTGAAAATGGCTATCATTGCTCCACAACTAGTTACTTTGACGGAACGTCAATGTAACAAAATGGATGAACTTCCTGGATACGAGTTTTTTGTTTTCTCGATTAAAACTTACTTAAGTCATGTTGCGAATTATCATTTGGCACAAAGTTGGACAATATACGGTAGTCGAGCTTTTAGAAATGCTCTCGGTTTGAAATTTGATTTTTAAATAAAACTATGTATTTCATGCATTTAGACTATCGCTTTTGTTACATCGACGTAAGTCGTCAAAGTAATATACATTAGGGAGTTTAAGTTTGCAATGTTTTTCACAACCTAAACGTGAACGAAAAATATTTAAGCGATGCATTTTTATGGGCGATCGGTCATATGTGTAGGTTGGCGTTTCAATTTTATATGTGAAATTGAACTCCCTAATGGTAATATAACGGTTTTTCGTCAATGTAACATAGCGAAGGGCCAAATTATAATTTGCAACTTGACTTATAACTTGGTTTAAATCTAGTAAACAAAGAACTCCTAACCAGGAAGTTCATCCATTTTGTTACATTGACGTTCCGTCAAAGTAACTAGTTGTGGAAACTGGCTATGGCTGCTCTCTAGTTCCTCACCTGTATATGACTCATTGTACAGTGATAAGCGACTAGCGTAGCTTAATTGATCCTTCTTGAATCCACAGACTGTTCCTTTGTGATTTTTTGTATTATAGTAGCGTTCACTGCGCCTCTCCTCGCTCAAGTAATATGATTTATAGTATAACTCATCGAGAACCTAATGTGAAACAAATATTATGTAACCACCGTAGCAATGCATGCCATTTCGAACGGAGTAAATAAGTCATACTAAGTTAATCAAATCCCAGTGGGCCATTCTTTTATTTCTCAGGAATCTTATTCTCATTATTATTTCATACTGACCTTAACTTTGCCTGGCTTACAGTTCTCCATGACTCGCATGAATGCCGTAGAGCAGGACCTTGGTACGCACCACAGCAAAACACGAACCTGTGTATTATTTCCCATATTATCCATCTCAGTATAAGGTGCTTATAGCTCTAGCAATAATACTTTTTGTCTTATCATCACAATGTCTCCACTTGTTTGTATCTTAACTTTCATTAACCAAGAGGCAGTTTAAAATCGAACTTTAACTGAGATGTTTATAACCACTAAGAGACATGACAAATGTGTTGTTTTCCAATATTTGGAACACCATATTAAAGATCGTTCGCCAAGTGAACTTTGATGCTATCCTTTTACACAAGAGGTGCCATGACCGCAACTAACTTGTAAGTGCTTATATGTAATCAGATAAAAGTGGTGGCAATTGTTCAGAAATTGGTCGACCTTATGATTCACAGAATACGGTTAACTTTTTTTATGATAACAAGTCCGAATATTAGGAACATACCCGATATTACAAATATAACGCATCATTGGCCATTTTTTGCAAGGTATAAATGGTAAAATAATGATATGGTCAGATAATTTCGGGCTTTGTAAAATTAAAATATGTTATCTTGGTAACCAAATGTATGGTTCAGCCCTAAGTCAACATTTGTCCTGACATTGTGTACAACTACAATGAGAGTAGGCTGCATACATGCTCAAAGTCATTTTACTGACAACACATGTAAACAGGCAAGGACCTGTTTGAAGAAGATGATTTATCATAGATCGAGTGAAAATAATAAACTGAAATACTGGGTGATTATCTAAGTTGGTTTATATGACCCACATTCACCTTTGGAGGTTGAAGAGAACAAACTAACAAAACAAAAAACAAGAAGTAGTGTCGTGCAACAATGTTCTTTATGTTATTAAGGCACCAGAGTGATCCAAAAAGTGAACACTTGCAACAAGCCACATCATGGGCGTAGCCAGGTGGGGGGGGGGGGGGTGCGATGGGTGCCATCCCATCCCCGCAAAAAAAGAAACAAGCAATTGTGAAAGGACAAGTCTCGGTTTGGAGAACAGTCTCCTGGGCTTAAAATTTCTTTATGAAAAATATAGAACACCCAAATTAAATTTTGATTATTCAAAAGGGGACATTTAAATCTACAAGATGTAAAAATATCAAATTTTTGTGAAGCAGGGGTAACGCTCAATTAGACCGATTCAATAAAATACAAGTCTCAATTTGGAGAAAGAAGTTCATCAGTGTAATGCGCTAATAATTTTTGTATGAAAAATATAAAGATATCACCTAAATTGAATTTTGACTATTCAAACGAAAACATTCAAATCTATATTATGTAAAAAATCAAATTTATCCAAAACAGGGGTAGTGCTCAATTAGAGTGATGAACTTCCATTTCCAAACCGAGAATAGTTCTTTGATGAAAAAAATACATTAACAAATAGTTTGAAACACTTAGAATGCACCATAAAATTTAGGGCTTGCAATGATGCAAACCCAAAAATCACATCCCTTTAACATCTGCTTGATACATCCCTGCATATTATGTCAATTATTACTTGCATTGGTCTTTCTCATATGTTTTAGAGGAAGGATATGCTAATTCAAATCAAAATTGAATATATGTTACTAAGTTACTAAGACGACCTGCCAAGCCAGCAAACCCCGACGCAGAATTAAGTCGTCCAGTCCTAATATCTTGCCAGTCTCAAATTAGGAAAATTGGTCAATATTGTACTTAAGAGCCAAAAATGTGATTAAAAGGATTTAAATGAAAATTCAAATCCGTCCTTAACCAGTATATCTCCAAGGAAACATTGTCAAGATATAAGCCATGTCTCATTTGAAAGGTCGATAAACAAAGAATCAAAATACTGAAAAATTGTGATAAGACACATTTTCCCGTGCCCTTTGACAAAATATTTTACTGGCAAGTTTCTTAAGAAACTCTGTGATCGAACTAGAGTACTGCCAAACAGATGCACATTAATTCTTAGTTTTATTAGACTCCAGATTGAAAATCTGGAGTCTATTGCTTTAGCCAGTTTTCTTATTCTTTCTTTCCGAACACTTTTTCTCAGCAACTAGAAGAGCTTACTTAAATCTACTTACATCATGGTCAGTAAAGGTATGAGACCTAGTTTCTGGGAAATTAGGTCAAATTTTTATCTAGGTCAAAGGTCAAAATCTAGGTCAAATTATCATTTTTTCAATTATCTTTTTCAATTTTTTTTTTACCTTGTAGCCAATAAAAAGACAATACGACATTATGAAATCCGTTTTTTGATTACTCCTACCGATTTTGAGATATTGCGTCCGGAATGAATCCAAATCTGCAATTCAATAGGATAGTTTCTAAATAGCAGAAAAATCAATGAAATCTCGTGCTGCCATCTTTTATTCAGCTTTTAACTCTGGCTAGAGCTCCATTCACTTACATGCTAAAATCTTGGAAAAGTGGCTTAATTTCATGATTTATCAAAGTGTGTTTGTTGAATCTGTATAAAACTTGAATGATATACCACACGATGACCCTGTTTATGAACATGTTGTGATTAAACATGCTAATGTTGATTGACATACAAATAATCCACGGTTTTAAAGAATTTTAGCATTGCATCTATGGACATTTGGCCCAACTTTTTTTAAATTGTCATAGAAAATTATTCAAATTACATAACTGTGTAAATCAAAGCTATTTTAGGAGAAAACATTCCACTGAATTCAAATATACCATTTAAAAGAAGGTAATGTAAGTCATTAGAGGTCTAATATGCAAGTCTCTTAAAATCTCACGAAAAACGAGATTTAGCGAGATTTCAAAAGCTATATGGAAACTATACTATTATCGAACCGACTTCCGGTTTGGAAGTTATAGCGTTTTGAAATCTCAAAAATCGCTAAATTGGGTGCCCTGTGTTAAGTCAATGGGAAATAAGACTTTTTCGAAGTGTAAAATACAAGATATAGACTGAGTACAGCTTAACATAATGAATGCCTATAAAAGAAAGGGACCTCAAAAGCTACATAGCTTCAAAATTTGGACATCAAAATGCCTAGGTCAAAATCTAGGTCAAATGCATAGTTTTTCCTTATTTTTAGGATTCTGACACTACACTTTAATAATTTGCTTCAAAATTTTGCATACATGTAGCAAAGAGTGTGCTTATAGTGTCAGCCTTTTGCCGTCAGAAAGTATTTTGACCCACTTTTGAGATATGGTGTCCGAAAAGTAGGTCAAAATAAAAAGTTCTCCAAATTTAACGTATGAGTTATGATTAGGATTTTCCCAGGAATCCGAATCTGCAAACCAAATTTCAATCCGACTTTCGGTTCGGAAGTTACGGCGTTTTGAAAGCTCAAAAATCGCTAAATTTGGTGTCCCATGTTATGTCAATGAGAAAAAAGATTTTCTTGAAGTGTAAAATACCAGATATGGACTGAGAACAGCTAACGTTCTGAAAGCTAATAAAAGAAGGGGACCTCGAAAATGCCTAGGTCAAAAACTAGGTCAAATTCATAGTTTTTCCATATTTTTGCGATTCTGACATTACACTTTAATGATTTGCTTCGAAATTTTGTATACAGGTAGCAAAGAGTGTGCTTATAGTGTTAGCTTTCTGCCGTCAGAAAGTATTATGACCCACTTTTGAGATACGGTGTCCGAAAAGTAGCTCAAAATAAAAGTTCTTCGAATTTAACGTATGAGTTATGAATTAAAGGAAGTATTTTCTCAGGAATCAGAATCTTTAAACCAAATTTCGATCCAATTTCTGGTTAGATAGTTATAGCGGTTTGAAGTCTCGAAAAGTCGATATGATGATAGCCCCATGCTAAGCCAATGGAGTCGAAGATAACATTCTTAAGAGTTGTCTAAATGTCTATATTCTAGTTGACTCAGCTTATTCTGAATGACTCAGCGTACAAGTAGTTGGATGACTCAGCTTAAAAAAAGTCTGAAATCTGGAGTATTAAATTGAACTTGTTCAAGTTACATGTCTAGTTATTATTATTTTATTTCATTAATAGTCATTGTGACCATAATTTACGGTATAATTTACAATATAAATAGTGTATGTATGAAGCTGTATATACGCAGTTCTATTTCCATCCCTAAGTTAATTAAGTGTAAAGCTGGTTGAAGTGCATTCTAGGTTTCCACCAGTCTGCTCCTGCAACAAATGACCGTCTACTTTCTGGTAAACACATGATTCCCTGTTTGAAGTAACCAGGGCAGCAGGTACCTGAGATCTCACAATTTCTGGAAGTAAATATAACAATAACCAAACCCATTCATTTTAGTGGCCTTGTATTAACATCACATTCATTATTTTTGAATCATGATATAGATTTCTTGAATTTTGTTAGGTCATTGCGGAAGTCATACTCATTCCAATGGTATATAAGGATCGGGTGTCATTCAAATGATCGGGGATTTTTACCAAAAACATAAATTCCTTTAAATACACACATGGTTTCATTTAGGATATATTACTACAAATCAAGTAGGAGTCGCGTCTTGTACTTACCTATGACATTCCTGTTTCTTTTCTGCATCGGGTAATGAACATCCATTGCACTTTGCAGAGACATCTATATTGCATGCAAATACGTTACACGTCTCTGTATCAAATGAACTTCCTCTTTAATAAATCAAAAATGGCATTATTGTCTCTACCTTTAACGATATAGGGAGGTTCAAGAATGGGATAATAGACATAAGAAGATTACGAATTCTGTTTCATTATAGGGCTCTTCAAACATGAAGAGGAGAGGAATCTAAGCCGTATTAATTCTTGGATCAAAACACTTTAATTACAGCATTCTTCTAAACCTACTCGCATCTTGGGTATTTCTGATGATGTAAACACGCCCTTTTGCGACTTCTTCTGCCACAACCCCCACACGACTTTGAGCAAGGAGTCCATTGACTCCATTCCGCCCACTGAGCGCCTGAAAGTCAAACATTGCACAAGGTACTTTCTGTCTACTCCATAATCGTATCGTATCAAAATACTGTAAAAGTAATGTAAAAACATCAAAATAAGAATGAAGCCGAGATATTATTTTATTACTGCTCCGGTAGCGCTGCACCAAATGTTTAGAACCTACTGCCCTTTTCTGAATGTGTTTCTGAAATCGGAGAAACCATTGAGCCTTTGTTCAAAGTGTACCTGTTTCAAATGTGTATTTAGCACGGAATCCTTGTAAACCTTCAACTCCATTCGATTGAAACAGAACCATCATTCTATTCGTTTCTGACATCAGAATGACTTGAGGGGTTTGCCTACAGCAGAATCTAGAAATAGCCGATTTATTTCAAAAAGTAGTACTTTTATAATAAGTATACATAAGGTGTGATCTTTCTTGGTCCTATGTACTGATTCCCATTGGCAGTGGCATGTTTAAAATTATCAAAACATGTTTGTTATCCCAATGTCTTACCAACTTACTTAAAACTAGATTATAAGTGCAAAGAAATAACCAGATAGCATTTTGAAATTGTAAAATATTCTGGCTAGGCACCCTTCTACCCCTGCCCCCTCGATTCCCGAAAAAGAAAACCATTGAAAAATCAGAACTTCTTTAATTAGATTGATTCGATGTCTTGTCCTATTGACTTAAATACACTTGAAAGTGCCCAGAAATCACCAAATAGCATATTAAAATTGCAAACTTTTCCAGAGGGAGTGGAGTCAGTGGACCACCCCGCTCCCAAAAAACAATTGAAACAAATTCTAAAATTATTTTTTACAGGATTTCTCAAAAAAGGGAAACAGGGTTTTAATTGCTTATTTTTTGAGATTTGTGGCAGACATTTGCATTGAAAGGGGTCATGTTGAAGGGGTTAAAACAACTTTGAATTTAAAAAGGGTGTGGGTTCGATCCCCACTGGGGTGGACTGACTCTTTCACATCAGCCCTTAGCACAGGATTTTATTCTGTGTTTTCATTAACTAATGTATAAATGTGTAAATTGGAATTAATGAGTAAAAGAGTAATATCCCGATGTTTGTTAATATTTATCACTATGTTATGATGGTGAAATTGACTCGGCTGAAAGTGGCGCAAACCCAATTCTGACATGGTTACTTAAATCCCTGATTGTTAAGTCATCTGTGGAGGAAAATCTTGGTACTGTATATGAAAGAAAACATAATGAGGCAAATGATGGTACGAATGATGGTACGAATTTTTCTAACATTATTCATCTTTATAAAATAAGTAATTTAATCTCGGTTTCCTTTTTTGAGATATTGTCTCAAACACTTTAAAAGTGCCCGGACACCATCAACTAGCCCCTTCCATCTGCCCCCCCCCCAAAAAAAATGTAAACATGTTTTCTTTTTTTTCTCAGTTTTATTTATTGTCCAACACTTTTTAAAGTGTCCAGAAATGACGAACATAATGTTTATCTTGGATTGGTCAAATGTCCGAGAGAGAAGGCCCGCAAAACTTTTTGATTTTTGTCCAGAAATTGCAACTTGAATTAGTAAAATTTCCTGGCATTCCCCTAAAAATGATAATAAGTAATAACCTTAAAACATTTTGAACTAGTAAAATGTGGGGGTTACTCCTTGCATACAGAAAATACAAATTTGAAAAAGATATTCCGGAATTTGTAAGTTGTATTTGTTAATTCAAACACTTTAAAAGTGCCCAGGAATCACCAATTGTCATATTGAATTCATACCATTTTCTGGCACCCTACCCCTAAAACTAAGGCATTTATTTATTCACAGTGCACAGAAATAACCAGACAGCATGAAAAAATCCCCTTCCTCCTCCAAAAAGAAAACGATTTAGAATAAGACTGAATTAATTGATTGATCCTATTCATTTAAACACTTGGAGGGGACAAGAAATCAATGAACATGATCTTGAATTGGTAAAAGTTTATACCGGGGACCCTTCTAGCACACCCTCACGGTCTCCCACTATTCTAAACCAGCGTACTTAATCGAGTCGATCACCAGTGAATATAAAACCAAATACAATACAAATACTACCCAGTATTATATAGTGTATATAGTATTATAAGTCTAATATATTCCATACATCAAAGCATTACAACTGTAAAGTGGCTCAATTCAATGAAAACAAAAAAATATCGAAATCGACAATTACCGTCCGCCATCTTAGATGCAAAGGTTACTGTCGTTACCTTCGCTTGATACTGACAAGTGACGAAATACATACGGGCTAAATATAAGTTGAGAGAAGGATAAAGATGATAAGTCGAGAAAATAAAAATTACTACGAATCGGAAGTCCGGCCATGCTGAAACGAAGACATCCAATTGATCCCCAGTGCTAGGCATGTATGATTACTTTCTAACCTATCAAAACCCAGTATAACCATGCTATATTATAGTGCTAATCATTGTCGATAAGGGAAAGCTTTAACAAATATAAGAAAAACATATTAATGTGAGACGACAACAATAATCTAATGGTTGAGCAAGTAGGTGCTTATGATTGTCTAAGCGTTAGAAATTATACACAAATTGTGTCATTATAATCGTTATTATCCTCTCAAAAGATTTCAGGTTGAATTTCAATACTCCAATTCGCGATTTAAGAGTTCAGGTGGTAATTTACATGAATATCTCCCATGATGCATCGCTTTGGAAGGGACACGTTTTCATTGGCCCGCCGAACGAGTCGATTACTCTGAATCGGAGATTCAAAGTAACAGTATTCATATTTTTCGATCTTCAATGGCGTCTGAACAATTTCTGGGAAATCAGTGAGGCCACTGGAATTGGATGGCATTTTCAACTACAGATTTTTTTCAGATTTTGGGATTATAGTTCAAAAAGTCTTGTTGTATATCTTAATTAATCACATCTATCGTTTTTGCAACTGCAACTCTACATAAATGTTGTGTAATCCAATGGGAAAGAACCCAGATGTAGAAGAAATTGTACCATACATGAGAGCTCTTAAAACGCGAGGTAACTAAACTGAACTAAACTAAACTTTATCGCGCTTTAGAGTATGAGTATAATATTGTTAATATGCTATGTAGGAAAATAAATTAAGGACTTGATTTAATGCACTTGTTTTCTGCATGTTGGCCTTCATGATCATGCTCACGGCCTGCACCGGCCGAGCTTGACGCTGACTGAATATTTTAACATGCGACGTAGGGTCTGCTTATGAACTATTTATAAAGTAAAAATAAACCCATTATTATTTATAATGTAATGGTAAAATAGATTTCTCTATGTCAGCTCTTTAAACTATTTACATGACACTGTATACTATTTAATCATACCGTATACCGGTTTTTGCAAGGTCCTTTTCATATTTAACTTCTACCCAATCAACACAAGAAAGAGCGGCTTCGACGTAATGACTGCAGAACAAGTCGAATGAATCAATGAATTGTATCTGGACCCTCTTGTCCGCCGGAGCCTAAATAAAATGCAGAAGTGTGCAGAAAAGTTCGTGTCTCAGTTAACCTGAAGGTTGACCAAAAACACCGAGCCTCCTAAAATTGAATAATCTTTAATATCCATTCAATTTCCGGATTTTCCGGATGTCCATCAAAATGCAACAGTACATTCATTTTACAGGTCATGTACAAATCGAATATGGGCGTATTGTTGGAAATAGATGGTTTTCATTCAACAAATGTGATTCCTAGGTCTTTTTGGTCTATCACCTTATACGTTCATGCACCTGTCTTTTAGTGATCGGTTCCTATATCGCTCATTCAGTTTTTGGCATGATTTTGTCTCCAAGTTGATTTTTAAAAGTAGGCACACTTTTAGAAAGCACACGGCATGTTAACAAATAAGCTTCACGTACCAGATAAAATGATGTTTTACCATCTACATATTCCATTTATGTTGATTGCATGGATATTAAAGAAATAATTACAATTTTGGTCGGTCATATTTTTAGCTTAATCACACCCTCCGCCTCGACTGATTGAAGGATATATATTAAAACATTATAATATAAATATTTTAAAAATATTCTATTTGAACCTGTGCATCTTTTATAAATGATATAATCCTCACTCACATTAAAGCCATATAGAACAATATTTAGATATTACTTACTAAGCTGAGATATCAACTCCCGGGCAATATGCTGTTCAATTACAAGGGTTTAAATAATCTGCATTGTTTAGGACCTTCAACGGACTGCAATTTTAACAGAAGAAAAATGTTCTAAATTCTCAAATTTAGTTTTGATTCTCCATTTATATGTCATGTGATCTATATTCAGAATGAGGCTTTGACCTCTCCATGTTAACAAATGGAGGGGCTGTACACACTTTTTGATGATGTCATCACTAGGTTGCACAATCCTATCTGGATTGTAAAATTGAGATATTGATATATAGACGTCAAAATGAGAAACCTCCAGTAACCTACAATAATATGAGTTGACATTATCCTCGTATCAAGGTAAGATAGTGATCTTCGATATGATGATACATCTTCAATTTTGATAATAAAACTGCATAACATTTGTTCTATATGGCTTTAATCGAATAGCAAGCAATAGTATAGTTTCTAAATAACTGAATAAAGCTGACATAATAAATGTCACCCTCGTCTGTCTTTGATTTTCGTGGGCCAGATCTCCATTCACCTCAATGCTAGAAACTTGCAACATTCACTTAATTTCATGATTTATAAAAAAGTGTTGGTTGAATCTGTCTGAAACTCGAATGGCATACTGTTGGATGACCCTGTCAATGTACATATTGTGATTAAACATGAAAATGTTGGTTGTCATACGAATAAACCAAGGTTTTAATGAATATTAGCATGGCACCTATGGAGATTTGGCCCAAGTTTTTTAAAAATGTCATGGAAAATTATTCAAGTGACATAACTGTGTGCTATTATTTGAGAAAGCTTTTCATTGAATTCAAATATGCTATTAAAAATAAAGAAATGTAAGTCATTTGAGGTAAAAAGTGCAAATCTCTTAAAATATCAAGTAAAAACGAGAATTGGCGAGATTTCAAAGCTATATAGAAACTCCTCTATTGATATCTAGTAATCAATAAACAATCTGCGACTAAATGCATCTGGTGAATATTGCTTGTTATCTTTAGTCACGTGCAGGACATGGATCAATCAAAAAAAGTTAGGAATATGACCGTGATATGATAAATTAATAATATTCTAATTCTCTGGTTGAAGGCGCTTTGAAATGGTAAAATATGGCAGTTTTTCAACCCTGTACACAATTGCAGCATACCTGTATCATCCAAGTACAGGTTTGCCATTTTTTATAGCCCAATCCTGATTTTCCAATGAAATATCCCGGAGACTCGATAATACCTGGTGTGGTCAGTGTGATGCCCCCGCACGTATCTGCAAGAAAGGGTTCGCTTACGATGTATAAGGGTTGTTCAAAAAGTTTTGCACGAAAGTTTCTCAGGAAGAGATTTTATTATATTCACATGAAAATTACAGAATGTAGTATCACCCATTTTACATGCATAAATATATACGAAATTTCAGGTCCATAAGCAATGTACTTACTGATATACATAGACTTTGAAAAAAAATTGAACGTGGTGTATTTTTAACGAAATTAAATTGTTTTGCAAACCTGGTGACCCAGTAGATATCATGTCACATGTGGTCCCAATAAATCCTCTCGGACATATGCACTTTGTTAAATTCAGTGGATGCGCGTATCCCCCGTTTGAGCAATCAATAGCTGATAATGCGGTTGGATCAGAACCTATTAATCCACGGTCATTGATATAGGAAGGATGACGTTTTCCTAAAAAGCATCAGATACATGTACTTTAGTTAACAGTAACCACCAAAGTACACTGTAGTATTTATTTTTGTATACATTGTCTTAAAAACCGTATATATCATGGGACATATATATAGTATATGTATATAGTAGGACATCTATAAACATGGACATAATGGAATTTATCACTCATTGGGTCCCATGGAAAAATGAATAGTGCTTGTATGGGAACTTCTTTGATTCCATATTGCGTGGGAATTGATGGGGAAGGATGGGACTCGGTAGAACACACTGTCATGGGGCCTTCATGGGACACGTACGTCATATTATGCTTGGCTGTTCTACACAGAAAACTGACACACGACTCTCAGTGGTAGTCGTGGAGAATAAGACTACAAAAATACTCACTATGGAAACAATAGGCAATATTGACCAACTTTTTGTCATAGAAAGAAGGCTGTCCTGAAAATATGGTCGATCCCATAGTCTGTTGGTAGAGCCCATTCCTTGGAAGCATTGCAGGAAGAACTGGGTCAGCTGTGTAGTCACTGTGAAACTATTATTGCATATTATAAAATCATAATCGTAAATAAATCGCATGATAATTAATGATGAATACAGAAGTATACAAATGATGATTGTATCAATTTAATAATCAATATTTTATATCATTCCACGAGATCATGTACATTTTTACCTAAAAATACATACGTATACGGGGGCCATAACAAGGCTTCCAAAGTCAAATGGAATGCCGAAGTCCACTGCCATTGAGTTGGATATTGGAGCCAGGAAACCAAGACGTATCGGTTTAGCGTTTTGGCGTAAATACTGGAAAAGATAAAGACAGTACCTATTAGGATTGTCTGTCTTTGATTATATAATTGTGACTTTGAAATTACTTCTCACAATATAGGTACGTAGGTTGAGTTGAGGACATGTCTACCTCGAAAGTAACACAAACTAGGCCCAATACTTTTCCGTTGACTGTCTGGTTCAGACTTGTTAATTAATAATGTATCCCGTATCCAATCACAAAACTATATAAAAACTAAATAACAGGAGTAAGATTTGCAGCAACTTCTGTTGACCACTCATTTTCCCAGAAACATTTCCCGGCCGTATGTGTTACAGAAGATGTAAGACGAGTCTAGTATCCAACTAGACTTGTATTCAATTAGCTCCAGGCCACTGTTACTTGAATTACACTAGAAAGAAATCTAAAGCTTCTTAGTGGAAAGCGTTTTACAAAATCGAATATCCTGATTACAAGTATTATTTTGTAATTCCCCTTGTTTTTTTCTAAAACTCCTTTCATGCACTTTTACATCATTTATATGGAATACATTCAACAAAAATATAATGGGGTCTTTTGAACCGACTCTATCACACCATCAAAACACTATGTTTGCAAAAATACAATTTAGCATGTTCTTTGGAAATCTTATTAACCCTTTCACGACGATAGGCTCCATATGGAGCCCTATTATGTAATACCTTTCAGGACGATAGGCTCCATTTGGCACCATTATTTTTATTTATATACATCAATGAAATGACAATATCTCCAGTTCTATTCAGTATTTTTACACCAAATTTTGACAAGTTGTTCTTATGTGATTATCCTTACTAAAAATTGTATATCAGTGATGGAATCCAAGGTATAGGTCCCAGAGCATAGGTATTTTGCAGTTTTCCCCTAAAAAACACTCTCACTTATCCGTCACTGGGGACAACATTTTCCTCTTATATTCACGTCGGGAAAGGGTTAAGATAAGTTTATTGGAATTGGTCATCAAAATGTATTTTAGTCATCTAATTTAAAAATGTTATTTTTTATAATTCGACGACATTTGTAAAATAAAATGTGTATAAAGTCTACACGCTCCGTTATTTAAGTAACTGTCCTGGCAAAATCAAAATCATGCAAGATTACAAGGGAAACAAACACAAACTCAAGAAAACCAATGCTTTGCCCGCACCAGGTTTTTGAAAATTACACGCCTAACCATCGACAACGTACAGTGACAAAATATACGGGTGTACACTTTAGTTTTTTGAAGCAAAAATGTGATGCGGGTTTTAAGTTTTTATCTAAGGAATATGATGAAGTATTTCGTGTTTAATTTAATTCGCATGTTCTTGGCAAGACTCTTAACTTTTTAATAACGTTAACAGATTCTCAAACAGAGCATGCATTTTTTCTATGTAATTCCACCCATGTCCATGTGAACATTTTCCAACCCGTCAATTATGTGGGTGGAATTACCTCGAAAAAATTCGAGCACTGCCCGAGAATCTATTAGCGTAATCAGAAAGTAAAAAGTATTGTCAAGAGCATGCACATGAAATTAAACCTGAAATACTACTTTATATTCTTTAAATAAATCTTTTAAAACCTACATCATAATTTTTGCTTAAAAAATGACAACGTACAGCTAAAGTGTCGAACCGTATATTTTGTCACTGTACGTTGTCGATGGTTAGGCGTGAAACTAGCACTAGAAAAGATATAACACCCGGACACTTGCTGACACAAGAATTGACCTAGCTTTTATACTTACGAGCATATACTTATCAGCATCCGGTCGATGGTACTCGTCGAAAATGCCAAGCATTTTAGCAATATTTGCTGCCTGGTTTAGTGCCTGTAAATAAAGAAAATGTTGGTATATGCTGAAGCGAATTACGAGTAAACGAAACAAATATGCCCATGTTTGAATTGTTTTTGTACCAAAACCTTTAACATATAAGAACACATACGGTAATGTATGATGTAAATTGTAAACAGGACAGCGGACCAATATAGATTTTCAAATCCCGCGCTCGCAAACTTACCGATTGGTCATGGCGTTGGGACGACATTGCGCTTACAAACCGATCAACTGAAGATAAAACTACACGAGAAATTTTCCTTCAATCACTATTTATTTATTTCATGTAATATCACTTTAATCTTAAATAATTTCATAAACATTTATTTATCAATCGCGTTTATTGATAAATTCGTGTCCTAGAAGTTCTAAACTTTTAGGTTTAGAAATATTGCTCGCGTAGTTTTATCTTCAGTTAATCGGTTAGTATGCGCGTTGTAATAGACTAGATGCGAGTAGAAATAATCTTGATTTGAAAATGTGACTTCTTGTTCGGGTTGATTCCCCATAGACCCCATGTAATAAAATCACAAAAAGTGAATGATCTTCTCTTGTATTGGACAGATAACATTTTATTTTACTGGACACATTTTAATTTGCATAACTATTAGATACATAAGGGTTATATGAAAATTGAACGAGCCACCTGGTGGTGAATCTGGTAACTACCTACTCGCATCTGCGTTATTACGTTAGGTCAATATGACTTGGAAGAGACAGACATTGCAATAGACCATCAATTTCTGTTTTAAAACAAAATTAAAATACAAATTTTACAATAATCTAATTTGAAGTATTTAAGAATTAAACCATTATTTTTACTGGTTTAAACTTGCCATATATCAGTAGCCTACTTTTTGGAGAGTATTTTACTTGTGACCTCCAAGGAATAATTACAACAATACCTTATTTCTCATGAAAATGAGTGTCATACATTATATAACTATTATCCCATCGAAAGAATTCCAGTGAATATAGAGAACGGCTCCGTCCGTTCGTACTTCATTCTGTCCGTCCGGGCAATTATAACTCAAATACCGTTTGACCAATATCGTTTATATTCTACAGGTATACGCCTCATAAGAGTACAAGTTCTGCCGATTTACAAAATGGTCACAGATTTAAAAATGGAGTAAACTTTGGCCAGTAGTAATTGAGCGATTTGTTCATATTTGAGATGCGAATACTCATAAGCAAGGGTCACTTATTTATGACACTTTGGATAGTAAGTGGCCAATTTTCAAAATGACCGCCATTGTGTTATTTCGAGTTTTCACTATAACTCAAAACGTAGAGGAGCGATTTTGTCGAAATTTTATATGTGCCTACTTAGAAACTATTACACTAAACTTCCCAATGACGACTTGGCTTGTGAGTAGCCGTTTTATGTGCATTATAGTTTACAATTTTTGCTACTACAGAAAAGTAGTGGTGGGATTTTGTAAAAATGACAGCCATGGCTGTTGATGGGATTCTCGATGCCTTGACGTTCGTGTAATCTATAATTATATAGCACAGTTTAACTTGCCATTGTGTTTAACTATTTGTCTGTTTAACTATTTGTCTACATGTTGCATATGTACAGTGCATACATACAAATTACATATCAATGGGAATCATGTATCAATCCAGTTTGGACAATATCCACTAGAGGTCACTAGAGGTGGCGACAATGAAAGCTATAGCATATGTAAGGGGTCCCCAGGGGTAAATGTAAAAAACGTAGTTAGATATTAAACAAGGACAATAAATTCAGAGTTCAACTGATCAAAAGAAAACAAAACCTCAATATTCTAAATAACGATTTTATATATTAATGTTCTCTCCCCATTCACAAAACACAAGGCCGGGAAAATCTGGGGATAGCGGTTAACCATGTATAGCACCCATACAAAATGAACGATTTATCATAAATCATGTGAGGACAGGCAGAAACTAATCTCAAATCCATAAGATTGTCGAGGGGTCAACATTTGTTGTCCCAGTCCATAAAACAAAATAGCCATAAGAGAAAACTATGGCTTGATTTCATACCTCTTTGAACCTTATTTCCAAATCATAACTTAAGGTTCTTCAAAGAGTAGTTGAATTTTAATCCAGCATATAGCTGGTGTGAATATCGTGTAAACGTTTATCTAAAGTCATCATCGATGATGTACCTTTCTTGTTATCCTTAATGTTATTTTCATTACATTATTATTTGAAGTATATTCTATCAGATACATGTATACATCCATCCCTAACTTGTTAATTGATATAACTTGCTAATTGATATTATTATTATCATTATTTCATATTAAAGAAACATTGTTTTTCTTTCATTTATCAACTGCAACTGAGCAGATCAACTTAAGTTTCAACAAGGCAGTAACATAACAAAATGTCATCACCTAGTTACTCACAATATTATTAGTTTAAATCTTAAGTCAGATTTGAACTTCTGGGAACTTATAGCTGATCTTGAAAAAATAGTCAATTTGAAGTAAGTTGGCAATTGGAGGTCAAATCACATATCTAATGTCAGATTTGAACTTCTGAGAATTGTAGATGATTTTGAAAAAAAGAATTGGCCAATTTGAAGCAAAGTTAGATTTGAACTTCTGAAAAGTAGATGACTTTGAAGCAATTTGAAGCATTTGAAAAAATACTTTTTTTAACTTTTTACCTAGAGAAGGTCATTGGAGGTCAAATCTCAAATCTAAAGTCAGATCTGAACTTCTGAGAACTCATAGATGATTTTGGTCACTTTGAAGCAAGTTGAAAAATACCCCTTTGAACTTTTTTTGTCCTTGAGAAGTCAGATTTGAACTTCTCATAACTTGAAAATGGTTTTGAAAAAATCAGTCCAAACAGTATTTGTTAAGTTATTGGAAGTTGTAGGGAATTGTTCAAGACGCCGACTCCCGGACGCAAACCGCCGTCACAAAAATGTTAGAGACCATAACAATATGTCACCACTTTAGGTGGTGACACAAAAACTATTTCAGTTACACAGGGTGTCCTAAAAGATTGTACCCAGACCAAAAATGTTCCTAATGACTGGCTGTGCGCTGACTGATACAAAGTTTTGCTGAGAATTAAGCGACGACTGCATCATCGAGATTGCATTGACCTACTTACATGACGAATTTATGTCTGATTACTGGGATTTGTTTTAATCTTAAATAAAGATATTGTCATGTTTTTCGTTTGATAATTTGCCATAATACTTTACGTTAATTGCTAAGGTAGGGTAAAGGGGGCAATCCGACAGTCGGAAGTTATCTTGTAACTGATTTTCCTTTTATGCGTTCAATTTTTTTACTATTGTGTCTTTTATGTAGTTTTCCCATCGTTCTTACGATAATGAAATAATCTGTCAGTAATTCTCACGAGAGCAATTATGAATCTATGAATTTACCATATACATGTAATCAACCTATATATGCCTTCCTTAGACTATACAGTAAAACCTGTATATCTGAACACCTGGCTAATCCGAACACCTTCCAATTTGAACACTTTTTTTCGGTCCCATTTTTTCCTCCCATTGACTCACATGTTAAAAAAACCTTGAAATCTGAACACCTCCTAATTTGAACAGTGAACAACCAGATTTGAAAAAGTGACCTGTCTAATCTGAACATTTTTATCAGAAAGCAAATGTCTGGACATTTCAATTAAAGCCACATATTGAGTCAATGTTATAGTTGTTATTTATCTTTACATATATACAAATGCAATCAAAGAACCAATTGTCCTAATTAACTTATTTAGTCTCAGTGACATCCCTAATTTGTGGAAAACAACAGGATGTTTTGGAAAGGTGTGAATACAGGAGTTAATTGGTTTATCCTATTAGAAAAGAACTGAATGTTTTATTTTTGGATTAAGAGAAAGGTGTGAATCAAGAAGATAATTGATTTATCATTATTGGAAATTACCTGGATGTTTTTGATTTGGATTAAGAGAAAGGTGAGAGTCTGGGAGATAATTGGTTTATCCTCATTGTAAATTAACTGGATGTTTTTGATTTGGATTATGAACAGGTCTTAAATGTTTTATATCCCATGGGTCTGTTATGATAGCTAAGATTCAATCAGTAAATGTTTTATAATCACAAAGACAATACAGACGCCATTTGCAGACACGATTATATCACGAGGAGAAAAAATCCAACTTCGTAATATTTGCATACATCTGACATCCTGAATGCCCTTGATATTTTGAAGGATTATACATCATCTCGAATGAACACTCATGAAAAATTATTTTTACTTGAAAAGGATATCTACTCAAATATTGCTAAAAGTGCCAAGAAACAAACAACAATGAAGGACTTTTTCAAGCAAAAGTAAAGCAGTGCTATATAACCATAATATGGGATAAGCCATTTGATAAGCATAAGATTTCGTATGAGACTATCATATACTTCTACAGTGTATTACAAAGTTTTTGCCAAAATATAAGAGTTATTTTTACTAAAATGATGAATTGTTCAAAATATAAATAAAACATAGCAATAGGCTATAGGCCTATTGTAGAATTAACTCATCAACAACATGTTTTGTTTTCTGACTTAGTATTAAGTGTTCAATATAGTGCACTGAACAATGAAAATCCCCCCCCCCCGACCAACAAAATCCTCGAAATTTGAACACCTGCCAATTTGAACGCTTTTGGCTGGTCCCATGGGTGTTCGGATAAGACAGGTTTTACTGTACATATATTATCAACAGATATGATATGGAAGCACGATGGAAATACATACAGTGAAACCAGTACCCGCAAAAGTTTTATAGGCCTTCTCATTCACGTCTCTTCCGTAGTAAAACTTTCTATCTTTCCTGAAAGTAAACACAATGTTTCATTAATCAATCATCAATGAAAAAAATTAAATAGATATACTATAGGTAAAGTATCACAATGGTAAATAGCACATGGTCAACAATATATAGTAACCAAGACAGATTTAGGTATGGACACTCTTTCTAGGAGATTTTACTCTTTGATAATATCGAAAATCATAATAACTAAAGATTAAAGTAAAATTCTTTGATATTCTTCATTTCATACCAATTTTAAGTTAAAAACGTCGTTAAACACTAAATCTAACAGCCCATGGCAGGTTCACATAGCCTGAAATCAACGGCCTTTGAACTTTGACATCTGAAACAATTGCTGACTAAATTAAAAGTACACTAGTTGCAATCTGAAAGTGTCTTATATTTTTCAAATTAATTTTGAATATATAAATATTATATATTTACAGGATTTCAGGGTTTCGATAAAACCCAAACAAGACATAATTCTTGATGTCTGGACGTTCCTCGATGTTTCGTATCCGTTCAAAATCAAGACACGTGTCTATTTTCCAAGTAGCCATTGCCGTTTCAATTGCTTCAATGTCCTCAGGATCTGAAAGTTTTGCAAATGACATCAATACGTTTCTCTTGCACATGTGAATGTAAGAAGATTCAGTTATGCAGAACCTGATTAAGTTACTCAATAGCAGTACTATCCCCCAAGACGCCCTCGCAAAGAGCTCCTACTAAGTACATACGGCATATCATACAAAACGATACCGAGCGTCCTCTATTAGCCAATAAAAATGCCGGCATAAGGGCTGTTTATTTTACAATTCTCTCCATTCTTGATAACAACAACCAGTATATTTACCTCCACTGCAAAAATAACCAATGAAAATAACAATGTGTCCCTTTCATCAAAAAGCACTTTAACGTAAAAAAAACACAAAACATTTCATCTAGTATATCTACTAGGCTAGTTGCAACGGTATTTTTAATTGTTGATAAATACGTATTGTGGTCTGGTTATATCTTCACGTACCGTCAATCACCTTATTTTTTTGATTTATAAGTTCTTTATTCGCTCCAATGATAATAGCATTTCTAATTTGTTTAGAGCTTAAAAATACACTATTTACACGAGGCAGTTCAATCCCTTGTGTCATTTGTGTATAGCTATTTATCAAACCGATTATCAGTAATGTACAGTATATATGTTTAACATGTTTAGTTCAGTTTAGTGTTCCATTCATAATTTTAAACATATAATTAATTACAATGTGACACAGAGCATATAATCTAGTACACTATACATCTCTACTACTGTTTATAATAGTAAAAAGCTGCAGACATGAGTTGCAGTACACTTTCTTTCCAAGCACAATTTTGAACTTGAACAATTGTTTGAAAAAGTTTCTCGCTAGATCTGATTCTGTCTTTTAGACAGGTACCGATTTCAATTCAAGCTTTGAAGCATTTTTTAGAAAAAGCAACATACCCTTTTTCCTTATTTATCAGTTTTTCATGCTGATGAAGTTTTTAAAAGATGACTGCTCAATGGGGTGGCTTTGACACTGATTTTTAGCGTGTTTACCCCCTCGGATAAGATTTTAGGGGATACAATTATTTCATATCACAAAGGATATATCAACTATTTTTCTGATTTTTACAGCTTGATCACAGGTAGTAATCGAACAGCACTCTCCTACAAAATCCGCACATTCCGGTAAAAAGTCGTGAGATTTCGGAATTTCTTTTGAAAACGAATGCTCTTTCTAGTAAGTTCACCGACCTAGCTTACTCTTGTGTTCGTTTCCTTGGTATCTTATTTTGCAAAGTTCGATCAAGTTCTTATTCAGTTAAACTTTGTCAAACTGCAAAATTTCAGATTGTTTGAATGTGCATCATATGTACTTTGATGTATTACTAATTAAATATTAACAAAAAGATAAGTAAATCAAAAGTCGTATAGGTCTTGCATCTTATTGGGTGGGTAAAGCAATTGCATATATCTTTACAAACAATGGAATTAACATGAAAGTGGCAGACACATGTGAATATTTGTTTGTCAAACTGTGAAGAGATTGTCTAAATGTTATGGTTATGGGTAGGGCACGATTAAGTCATATCAAAATTACAAAATAATTTTAACATAATAATAGATGTAGTACAATAGCATATAGTTCGAAATTGTTGAAAGAATATTCCTTTTGAGCTGTTAGACCTGTAATATTTTGCAGTCGCTAAAAATGAGACAAATTGCATATTTCTCTGAGACTAATGAAGATACCAGCCTTTACCTTTAGGATAAGATCCATTTATGTGCTGGAACCATATGCTGTAGACCTTTATGTGTTATGAAATAATATCATAAAATCTTATCCCATGGGGGTAAAAACGCTAAAAACCAGTGTCACGGCCACCCCGTTGAGCTGTCATCTTTTAATATCTTATCAGTATGAAAACGGATGTAGAGAAAGTAGGTATGTTGCTCTCTCTAAAAATGCTGTTTCCAACCTTCGATCAAGTATGCAGGATATGACTGATTTCATTATTTAAATTGGATCGCTCTGATGTCACTACTAGTATTGCGTGTGGGGGAGGAAGGATGTTATATTTGCATTTGATCTTTTTTATCCAACATAAAGCTTCTCAAGTCGATTTATTCATGAGAACGATTGATATTGCATAAAGGAAAAGTACTATTTTTACAAAAGATCATACTATATATACCAAGTTGCATTAATTTCAATAGATCCCATTTTGGAACTGTAAACTCTGGAAAGAATCGAAATTATTCTACTTGTTTTGCTCAATTTGAATTTAGCCCCATTGGAACGACTGCCTTCCATGCATTCTAACACGACACATAAACTTACTTAGTCCATCTTCATCTATCACGTATGGGACTGGTAAATCCCACAAAGAATTCCTAGCACTTGAAATTGAACGTTTCGACCTAGTTCCTTCTCTTGGTTTATTTTCCCCATGGATAGAGTTATCATCGTTGCTTTGAATATCGCCAATGTCATGATCGTACATTTCCCCGAGCACTTTATATATATTTAGACCATAATTTTCTACCTGGAAGAATAACAGCAAACGTACTTTATGGTCATTCATATTTGCATCGTATGAATAAAAACGTACTCTAAAAGAAGGTTAAACAATATAACAAATAAATGTGTCCTTGATTTTGAAATCTTTATATCTTCCAATTCTTATGATTCTTCATTCGTACTGTAAAACTTATGTCACAGAAAAGAAGTTACTGTCCTTGTAAGACTATGCATCTTATTGCGCTTTTGCAAATCAGCAATTAATTGATAACCAGATCATTTCATAGATGAATAGATGTTGTAATATGATTTAATGTCTTAATTAGGTGTAATATTATTATCTTATTTAACCTTTAACAAGTCAACCTACCTTTGACGATATTCTACGGTTTTTGTTCCCTTTCTTCTTGCACATGCTCTTTTGTAAATACGTAATCATGAGTATGAAAATTAATGAATGCCATAGCTTAGTGGCCATCTTAAATAATTCACTTGTACACGTTTTCTGTGTGTATTCTGTCCATTAACTTGTGGTCGATAAGTAAAGTATGAACGGCCATTACTTTTGCCATTTATGTAGTTTTAAATAGCTCTTTTATTGAAGTGTGAATACTGCTTGTTATATCGCATTTAGACAAATTGTCTACTTTTATAGTATTACTGCAAGGGATATGGTCCCTAGATTGAAACTAGAACTTCCGTGTTGAAGGAAGAAAGGGAAAAGGGAACGCTGGGAAACCCATAATGGTTGTGCAATATAAACACATTATATTGATGTATATCAACGTATTGCTTATATTATTTATTTATGGCCGTACAAAGTACATATTTAGTGATTTGTTGTTTATGATTAACAATAAATGTATGATTAATATTTTTCTTCCGTTTAATTAACAACTTGTTTATTATCAACAGAGTATCACAAATAGTATATATTTATTTTGATCGTACTGTACAGTAAATCTCAGCAAATAAGTGAGTAAGGGCGTTCAGACACTAAGGTATTACACATCATCGAGCTCCCCGTTAAGCTGCTGATAATCCTAAGATTTATCCTTATATCCAAATGATTTCCGTGATATCTGAATGGTATTCATGGATTATCAATCTTTAACATATTTATTGTTTGACACAAATTAATCGTACAATGAAAATATTATGTTCCATATGGTTTTATCTAAAAGGCGAACATGCGAAAATTAAGGGTGGCTGTTCCCCTAAAACGACTTGTTAATAGATCTTCATTTAAACAGTTGGGCAAGATGTATCCGATTCCAGCCAATCTGAAGACGCTATTTCACATAACTGCATTCTATTATACAAGGGCCGAGCAATATATTCGCTACTTTTTGCTCTCAAATTGTTAATAATAAAGTATCTTACCTGAAATTTTCCAAAATAATAGAAAAAACATTTTTCTGTAATATCACCAAATGTGCATTTATTTGGTAACATCCGTAATATTTTACATGGCATTGAATATTGGTTGATAGTGACCACCGGAGCTGACATTTGTGACAATGTTTCAGAAAACAACTTTTATACAAAATGTCCTTTTTGTTAATTAAGACAGTTACTCCTCATTCCATGCCTCATTCTCAAAATAGTGTCCATCTGCAGCTATGCATTTTCTACATCGGGAAAGCCAGTCTTGATAGGCCTGTTGCAGTCCGTTTCCATTTCCATATAGGTCTTTTAGGGCCTTATGGACGGCCTCAACCACTTCTTCACGGTCACCAAACCTCTGCCCGCGTAGCTCATTCTTCAGTTTGCCGAAAATTTCAAAGTTGCACAATGCAAGGTCTGGACTGTATGGTGCATGATCAAATTTTTCAATGTTTAGAGCTGCTAATATCACTTACCTCACGGGCCCTGTGTGATGGAGCATTATCTTGATGATATATCATATGGTTGATCAATACTGGGCGCTTTTTACGAACTGCATCCATGAAGTTCTTTCACAAGACTTCTTTCTTGATGCAACTCAGGAAGCAGAGTCTCCCCTTTGTGATGCATATGCGGATCAATTGTGACCTCTTTATTGTTTGAAAAGAACATCTATGACATCACAACCATTGTTCTGAATATTGGATCAATGTCCAGTAAACAATGTTTATAAAAATTACCCAAACTGAATGTTTTTGTTATGAGAAATGGGCATATAAAGATATTGTTGCATGTGCAATTGCAGTAAAATTATGGGCAGCTCCGGTGGCTCAATACTCCCGTTGCTATGACAACCATAATTTTATGCCATATTTGGCAATGGGCTTGAAAATGGAATCAAAAGATGCGGAATTCTACACTCTATGTCTGTACCAAATTTCAATGGAAATAAACAAATATAAAAGAAAATAAAGCAAAAAGTAGCGAATATATTGCTCGGCCCTTGTATAACCGATAACCAACTCAGCTTAACGGTTGTTAACTACTAAACGACTGTCAAGGTGATAACTGGACTCTAGTTACAGAGGAAATTGATAACTTGCCAACTTAACCCTTACACACAGTTTCATTGAAAATATGTTTTAAAGTATCTTTTGATTTTGTAGAAATTATTTTACAATGTGTGAAAAGCATTTAAGCCCAATACAATACAAGACTTATAATGCATTGTGGAACGACCATTCCTTTCAGGCATTGTTTCCTAAAATTATAACTCGATGCTCCGCATCTCGTGCGAATTTTGTAAAGCAATCCCTTCAAGGAATAGTCCAAGACTTAAATCCTTAAATATATCATGCATTGAATTCTCAATAATAAATGTATCCCATATTCTAGCATTCCTCTTCGACTTTCGAAATGCTTTTGACTGTATGTGGCATGATGACACGTTACTTTAAGTTGCACAAGTAATTTTCCTGTTCGAATGACAAAATGTTAGTTTCTGGCGTAATCTAAGAATATGCTTTTCTTCGATATCAGAGAAAACGTGAACTTGAATGCAATATAGATTGTGAATCATTTTGACGATCTGATTTGAACTTAATGGTCAGTAAAACAAATTGTCTTTGTGTTAAATGGCTAAACGATACTTATGCAACATATTATTCTGTGATAAAATTAATTGCATGTGCGTTAAGTAAATGCAAACATGTGTTTGATACTAAGGGCATTTCGATGTTCTGAGGCCATGTTTTATGTATTGTCCATTATAGACTCATAGAACGTCATTTTATATGGGGTGTTGGAAAATTCATCTTGTTTTATTGTGAATAGAAATGATTCTTGAAGTAAGGTTTTATGTGATATACATAAAGTAATGTTCCTCTGGTCGTATTTAGCTAATTTTGCTCTAGAATCTTTATTTTGCAATAGAGGCCCGGGAGAAGAATGATACATTTCTGAAATATTATTAATTTTGGCTAAGATATATTGACATTTGACACTGTAGCAGTTGTTATTATAGTAATTTGAAGTCGGGTTCAGCAGAGCAAATCGCAACCTCATAAATTACAAAGGAAACAGATCACTTTTTCTGATATCTCATGTCATAAATGAGCCTGGCCATAGGAAAACCGGTTAAAATTGTGCTATAGAGCCAAAAATGTGCTCGAGATTAAGAGGAAAATGTGCTAAATTCAAAGTCTTTTGGTCTATAACTGCACAGAAAAATTGTTAAGACATAAGTCATGGATCATTTGAAAGGTCTCTATGTGCTTTTTAAGATAAACAAAAAATCGAAATATTGAAAAAATCTGTGATAAGACCCCTTTTCCTGTGGCCTGGCTCAAATAATATTCTGATTCTACATTCCGGTTTTCACTGAAGTTTTTGTCAGTTGTTGGTGTGTTTGTGTTGTGAATTGCATCACAGTCACTTAGAAAATCAGAAGAAATTGATTTAATGGTCAATAAAAAATGGTTGCAAAACATACTAATCAGAGGTCCTGAAAAGGGTAATAGTTTTTGTTGAACATCTATCGATACTGAGAGATTATAAACAGTTGCTATATATAATATCACATGTTTGGCGTTTAGGGCCCATGTAAAGTTTGAAAATATGTTTTTGATCATTCATTTTTTACCATTATTATGACTTTAAAAGTTATTTTAGAGGTGTTTGAAAAATATTTTGAAAAATGTTGTTTTCTTTCTCAAACATTCAAATTTCACTCCATTTTTCAAATAAAAGGTGTAATTTTTAATCATCAAATATTCCAAGATATACTTATTCCCATCTCATATACCCCATCTTGGTGAAAATGATGGAAATGAAAGTTTGTCATCCATTTGTTTATTACAAGGCGGGGACTAGTGTAAAGGTTACGTTCAAGTTCTCCGAAATAGGTATTACTTAGATTCACTATTCATACCTCGACGTAATATAAGAAATTGATATTAATGTTGTAATCGTTAATGACTACTTGTGTTCGACTGTGTTACTGGCCATGTTGATTATCTCAACTTCAATCGAGAGGTAAAAAGCATCCTGCCCTTTGTTCAGCAATATCGTTGGGATGTCATACAAGACAAAGAGCTAGGTGAAACGTATTCATATTTATACAAGTGTAACAAGATGCCATATCAAGATAAAGATGTTTCCATCAAACAAATGGAAAATGGGATTCATGTCATTGACACAAATGCAACTCAGTTGCTGACTAAAGTAATCAAAAACATAACTAATTTATTAGTTTGGGCATTTCAATCGCGTTATGTTTAATCATAGCACGAATACAATGCCTAAAATTGAAATTGTTTTATTTGCAAACTCGATTAACATGAGAATACATCGTTAATTAAGCTATTAGACTCTGGAGAATGTTTTGATGCAAAAATAATTAACAAGAAACGTTAGGAGAGGTGCACTCCTGATAAATAGTATTCGTAAGTTGCTAGAAATGCTCTCTTACTATTCTAGCGAACTTTATACAACATTGAGAAATTCATTCCATTATGTCGATTTATATAATCTTGGGGGCCAACACGAGGCAGGTGCGGCAAGGTTCTCCATCAAAAGCTATGACGTTTCGCAAAAAGGTGGCGCATTTGTTTTTTAAGGGTATCGCGTGAATGTAACTTTGATTCCCCGGATTATAAGATAATATTCTGATTAAAGTTATATATCATTTTAAAGCTGTTTCGATGAAGATTTTAGATCAACTACACTCCGTTCACATTTTTTGCGCGTTCGTTTTTAAAAAAGAGTTTTTTACCAAAACATCTGGCAAATATCCCATGTTGACACGTTACATTTTGAATTATTTTTCGTCTTTAAACGCTCATAACTCAAACAATATATGACTATTATACTTATTTTTCGTCTTGATAAAGGTAGATGGAAGTTTTATTTCAAAGGATGAATTTTAGTAAGCGTCCCATATTGTGACGTCATAGAGTCTGAAAAATAGAATCTGTTGACAGCGACCTTTTTTGCTCATTTTTTGGTGCCTTCAACTTTTCAGGTGTACATTAAACAAAAAATACGAGATCAATTTTTAATAAATCATACATGATTATTTTGCTCCTAAACTCTAGTTTATTAATAAATAGTTGATTTTGTTCACAAAAGTATGTGTTTTCTGTTGTATGTGGAAAAGTGGAGGACGAAAGGTTTTCAAAATTCATTAAAATAGGGCTAATTTACGCCATTCGCCTATTTTCAAGCACAGCAACACGTATATTTATTTCACCTAAAATATCAATTGATTCGTGTTTTATGATGCTCCTAGCCCATTAACAATATATATATGATATCAGAGTTATTCGTCTAAAATGTTTTGAGATATAGAGGTAAATGTGGAGGACGAAAGGATTTCATGTGTGTACATTTTTTCTCAAAAACGTCACATTCTATCATGTTAAAAGCGAGGATCCTCTGGATTACGCCACAAAATGTGTAACAATGCGTGCGCGAGCTTTTTGCGACACGTCTATACTTCCCTTCGCATTCGTTTCAATTAAACGATAGCCTCGCTCGTCTTAATAATTTTAGAACTAAACCTTTGCGCAGGGTGAAAATGAGGTGTTACATTGCTTTTATCTCAATTTTGTTTCACATAATTGCATTTTACCCGCTTGATTTTAAATCCTTGCTACTACCTGTACTGTTAAAAAGTAAGCATAGATAGAAGACGTTTCAAGATGATGCCAATAACGTCATTCCAAAGGGTAATGTAGTGAAATATTGGACCAAAGGCCGGAGGCCCAATATTTCACTATTTTGCCCGCAGAAATGACGTTATTAGTATTATTACCACCGTTTATTACCAGGGCTGAAAAGATAAAAACTAGAAACATTGGCGGGCTCAAATATCATTATTGGCCCGCCACTTTGACTTCACATATTGCTCAGGTCAATATAGTAAAATAAACGCCTTCAATTCTAGTACTAATACCCTAGGAACAGGCCTGACAAGGGGGTAATGATATTTGATAACGAATAGGAAAGTACTGTACATTACCCCATCTTCAAGTAAAGATATATTTTATGCCATGATAAAAGCATAGTTTGATAAAACCAATGATTTTTTAGTTCACACTTTATAGCACCGTTTATACTCATTGCAATTACCAATTTCGTATTCAAAAATTGTAAAACTCAATATTGAAAGCATAGTGCTAGTCTATAACAATATGTAATCTAAAAATGATTTGAATATTTGGAATAAATACGTAAATGAAAAATGTATACATTGGGGCAAAGGAGTCAAATATCTAGTAACATTTTGTAAGATTTTTTGTTTTCTTGATTTTTCTCACTTTTATCAATCAAATTAATATTTGGCCAGTATGCAGTGTGTAGGTTCCTGCTTCGAAATATGATTACATCTCAGATATAGTTAAAGTAATTATTTGGATATTTACAAACCTCGTTTAGGAGTAGACATTCATTTTTAGCAACGTGGAGGGTCACAATTGGTCACAATTGCACCTGAAAGTACATTAGTATAAATGTGTTTGGAGGGACTGAACTGTTTTGTGAGTCTACGTTACCCCTTTTAATACTTAGCACATTCAGAAATCATTGAAATGTACTGTATTCGTTTCATGGTTCAGAAATGTACTATCTTCGTTTCCTTTAGAAACTGTCTTTGTTCCTAAGCGAGTGAATTGCTTTGTAGTTATCCAAATATTTACATATTTCTCAGCAAACCTTATTTTTGAACTGGAACCTACGCACTACACACAGGCCAAACATTTAGTTGAAATTTGAAGGATAAAGTTGATCAAATCGCGAGAACAAAAATGATTATGAACCTGAAGTCTAACTATGCTGAAACGAAGACATCGACTGTCTTCGTTTCCAATTGATCCCCAGTGAAAAAGTTGCTTTGGTGGTGTGAAAGCTGGCACAGATCTTAAGTTTGCATGTGATCTTTGATTTGCGGTATGAAACACTGTTCCTAATAAAAGAAAGCCATCAATTGTTAATTTGTGTCTAGAGTAATTGCATTGCAACGGTGTAGTTGCCTAATAGCGTCACATTAAGAATTCATCCGCGGGGACAAACCAGTCAAAGGGCTGCAATTACATTAAGACCCAAGAACAAACAAGAACAAGACTTCCTTTATTTCACCCGGCTAATAAAACCCACTTTGTCCAATCATTTCTCCTCTTCCTTTATCAATTTTTCTCGTATAAACCTGAAGTAGATAACAGAAGGTAAGGAGAGACCTAGCAGGTACGAGAGCTTGGATTAAATCCTCAGATTGTAATCGATCGCTAACCAATTTTTAGCAGTCTACTTCGGAAAGCGTCCACCTTGCGGCGTTGCTGAGCTGCTAGCATGTCCGATAGGATATCCAACGATCCAAGGATTGAGAGGCGAGAACGAGAAAGCGCATCTCGTTTAGATGGCGTGATTTGGTCTAAAAAGCCAGCTTCGGGACCGATTATAACGCCATCTATGTTTTCTTCATTGCTTCGCTTTCTCAAACTTTCTAATCTCAGATTCAAGGGCCCCGCTTCCAAATTCCGCCCTTTTTGCTGAAAATATGGAGCCAGGATAGATTGTTCATGATTTAACGACTGTTCATATCTTCCTTTATCTAAATTATTTGTATCCATTTGTTGATTTGTCGATGCGTCGAGAAAGCCATTTTGTACACTGTCTAAATAATCTTGTTCTAGTAGATTCGAATTTTGTCGGATGATTTCATTTCCTAGTTGGAGGGCATCAGTGTATGCGTTCGCATCAGCATTTGAACTAAATAAAATAGCTATAGTCACTAAGTAAACGTCAATTCTCATTATCATCTTGTTGAGCCTGAAAGTATATTATTCATTTTTATGTGTGTGAAAATAAAGTGGGCTATCTACGGCTTTTCATATCAAACCAAATGAAGATCTTTTTAGATTCAACTTCTATCACTTGGTATCAGGTTACGTGAGCTTAATGGAGGTAGGTTTAATTCAAAATTGGAAGCAAGAGTTTCCGCTATACTTAATCCGTAAATTATCACACTGTTTTCTTACAGATCGGGGTATTTTGAAAGATTCCTTTATTAGTAGAAAGGGGATAATTTGGCTAACATTTCCACAATAAATTTCGACTGAAATATTGTCTAAGAGTCTAGATTTTAAAAAAGCCATGTAAATATTGCTTTTATTTGCTAGGCTTGTTTTGGTATAATAAATACCGGCATTGTTTTTGAAATGCATTTATTTGTGACTCAAAATGTAAGTTTTTTTTATTCCTCCCTTTTTATTTTTCTTATAGTTGCTATTTGAATTGCATATTAATGTACTAGGTTTCCTATTCCATAAAAGGTTATTTATGAGAATTCCAGAAACCAAAACTGCGGATTTTAACAGAAATCGTATTTAGTCAAAACAATGCTTGTATAATGTAAAATTCTTTTGGTCATTTCAACAGTAACATTCGTTTAGCGAGGTGTAGGGATAAAAAATGACCAATAATCCAAGAAAACTTACTTAAATAGAACGTTGGATGTCAGGGGACAATTTGTGTGCACTTCGAAGAACAACCTAGACATATGTAAGTACCCTAAACCGCAAAAGATGTGAAACACATTCTGCAAGCTAAATATACTGTCCAGAATAAGCTAGGTCGGTGGACTAGCAAAATAGAGTCTTCGTTTCGCCAAACTCTGTCGATTTTTTTACTGGATCGTGCAGTGAAAAGTACTGATAACAGCGGATTTCTACCAGAGAGTGCGGTTTGATTCCTACCTGTGAAAATATTGTAAACTCATGCATGCATCTTATATTTGGAAGAAACATGGGTCTACTAATAGCATTCGAGGGTTGTCAGGTTAAGTGGAATAGCCTCGCGTTCAACGGATCTCATATCCCTTATAGTATATATCTATTATACAACCGCTCAACGAGGTGCAAGCTGTATATTATAAATTACCGGGTATTGCATGATTGTAAATGACTTTGATTGGAATGAATGACGGAGATTCACCAAGAATCGAAAAATGAAAGAAATACTAACATTTTAATTAAAATCGACACAGAACTTACGTCTGTAAGATCTACGTTCTACTAATCATGCTGACATGAAAGTCTTTAAATAAGTCTTGAGCTTCTGAGATAATAATAATTTTACTTAATCATAGTTAACATTACTTTAAAACATTCATCGTTCATTCTTTTATCCATTTCAGCCTTGATTGCTCGACCTGTATATGTAACTATCTAATCAGTGATCCGAATCTAAAAAATGGCAATCATTTTCACCAAAGTGTAAAGTCTAGTTGGTAAAAAATTTAATGTTTGACTTAAAATCACTATAAAACAACGCTAGAACGCTCAATAACAATCATGAGAGATCAGCATGATATACAATTCAGGAATAGACTGGACAAAATACGATTGGAATAGACTGGACACAATATGATTCATTTGTTTCGTGTAAATTCCTCTTCTATATTATTAAAAATTGAAAATATTGATTAACCTTTATAGCTTTGAGGAAGGCATGACAGGTACTTCCAAGAGTGATAGATAATAAAAAAAAAACAGATATAATTTTTTGCCGATTTTTGTAACAAAATTATTCCATACAACTACTCTTTATAGTGACATGACTTTTTACAATGCAGGACACCTGGAATTATTTGTAAAGCTAGGAAATGGGCCAAAAGTGAATTAAATAACTTAAAACGGGAATCCTATCGACAGAGGTTTTAAGGTAAATGGTCCAAAAGTGGATTTCGCGAGACAGATGGACAAATCAATGTTAACTAAAATGGCTGAAAATAAAAAGACGGATATAATTTTTTGCCGATTTTTTGTAGCAAAATTATTTCATACAACTACGCTTTAGAGTGACATGGCTTTTTACAATGCAGAACACCTGAAATTATTTGTAAATCTAGGAAATGGGCAAAAAGTGATTTCGCGAGACAAAAATGGGGACCATTTTAAAAATAGGCGAGCTTTTGAACCAGGAGTCATAGGGGTGTTTTCGGTATTGATATTCAACACAAATATCTTAAAATGTTTACTAAGATGGCTAAAAATAAAATAAAAAACTGATATAATGTTTTGCCGATTTTTTGTCATATAGCTACTCTTTACAGTGACATAGCTTTTTACAATGCAGGACACCTGAAATTATTTGTAAAGCTAGGAAATGGTCCAAATGTGAATTTCGCGAGACAATAATGGCGACCATTTTGAAAATTGGTGAACTTTTGAACCAGGAGTCATAGAGGAGTTTTCTGTACTGATGATGAACAAAAATATCTTAAAACGGGAATCTTATCGACAGAGGTTTTAAGCAAATGGTCCAAATCTGAATTTTGCGGGACAAAAAATGACGGGCATTTTGAAAATAGGCGAGCTTTTGAATCAGGAGTCATAGGGATTTTTCTATATTGATGTTGAACAAAAATAATTTAAAATGGTTTTAAAACGGGCCAATTGTTGACAGACAGATGGACGGAGAGACGGACGGACAGACGGACAAGTGAGTTATTTCAATAGCTCACCATGTTAGCTAATAATAACTTACTCATATTCCAAGTTATTGCAAATGAATGGTAGATGCATATTTTAAATGAAATCAAACGCTAAGTAGTCATGGAACAGTCGTTTTAAGATACAATTTAGATTCCCAGCAATAAACCACCATCTAATATTGTCAAAATGTTAGTATTTTCGAAGCAATAACGCATATAAAGGAATAGTGTATGTGTACAATGATATAAATTGTTTCTTTGTAAAAATGTCTTTAATCATTTCTATATGACGCGAAACGTATGTTCTATAAACAAAGATCAGAATTTCGAGAAAACGAAATGTAATTTGTCATACGAAATGGCTATGTGTCTATGTGCAAAGAATCTTAATCTTTCGATTCGATTGGAATTACGACTTGGATTTGGAAAAAGACTGTTGGTATGATATAGACTTGAGTAACTCGAGCACTCTTAAAAATGAATTACTTGAGTATTTCCCAAGTATTTCCCAAGTATAAAAATTACTTAAAGTTAAATACTTAGTTTTACTTCGTTTTACTTAGGTTTAACTTATATTGTCATTTTGAGTTTTTTAATTGCTTAATTATGTAAATGAGTATTACAATTACTACAGTAAGTATTTCAATTTCTCTCCTTGCATTAGTAAATTCACCATAAATGAATTACTTGAAAATTATTCAGTAGTTCAAGATTATTTAAGTAATTTTTGACTTAAAATGAGTAGTACAATTTCTCAATATAAGGAAATCAAAGTAATAATTTTTAAGAGTGAGTCTCTCGCCAATTTCTTGGCAAGAGGTAATTTCATCTGGAATACAGTAAACTCCATTTGAAAAAAGCTGGCCGGCGTGTCATAAATTCATTGAATATTCTAAAAATCGCCAGATAAATAAATCATTAATTAAAATGGGACTAGCTCAGCTCCTTGATGAGATATTGCATGATTTCGTCAGAATTCCGTCTAAAATTAAAACAAAATGGCTCCAAGAAAAATGGCGATATTCTAAAACTGGACGAAACTGGAAAAATGGCGGACATATGATTTCAAATTTTATGATTACGACATGACCCGTTGTACATGCAGGAATTTATCTTTGGACGAAGGCCACGATACAGGGGTTCGTTTTTCGTACGATCGTAACTTACGATTCCGAGAAAACCATTTGTCTCTGTTTTGATGAACAATGACTTGCGACCGAATCGTAAGTTACGATGGTTTCAAAGATGAAGGTAAATATAGACATATAGTAAGGTTCATACACAAGCATGCGCATGCAATATCAATTTCACTTTGTATCTGTTTCTTTTTTTTAGTTTTGAATTTATTTCAATTTGAAAATTTGCTTGGTCTAGTATGTAACTTTGAGATATAAACTCAACGCTGGTCCGACTAAATTCAAATTGCCTCATTTATCGTATCCATATGGCGTCATCAGTTTATTTCATATGTGTTATTACAGACAAAATCACTACAAAGATCTAATATACTGCTATGAATGGATGCATCAACTTTTATTTTACTGAAATTATTTTATTTCAATAAGGTAAAATAACCTACCCATGTAATAAAGGTGTTGTAAAATTAAATTTCATTGCGGATTGTCGTCTGTTCTTCTTATATGTGCTGGTTTATTAGACCTTTCTCATTGCCATTGTACAGTTACTTACTTTTTTTAATTATTCCTGCTCTCACTTCCTTGCTGTCGCTCTCTTCACTTGCTCAAAGTGGAATGAATTGCATAGTACCTGAAGTACTTATATGCTTGTAAATGCGATAGTTTAATAGTGGAATATGACGGCATTCAATATATTACTGTTGCATTCTGTCCAATCAGTCTAACCGTACAAATTAGCCAGTGATATTCACATGTATGTGTTAATATTGCATTTGTTATGCCGTCCTACACATCAGGTTGTTGTTTGACGTAACTAATATTAATAATATACAAACATTTTAAGGATACCATAACAATATCATATATATTACATTTTTGTGGAAACAAACTTTGTTCGTAGGAATGTTAACGAGTCAGCATTATGTGACCTTCAAGTCGTCTAGTTATCCATTTCGTTGTAATTCTTTTCACGCATAGAATAATATGAAACGAGATACATTTAATCTAATTGGTACTTTGTTTTATCAGGTGTGGTACTAATGAGCTATTGTTAAGAAATAATAACTTGGAAATTATCTCATTTTCCGCGAAAGCATGCCCTGACATAAAATCACTCAAAATGTAATTAGAAAATCTATGTGTCTTAAAATTTACCCAATAAGCGAGTCAGTTCATAAAATTTGACAAAATTAATTCGGAAGAATGTGTAGATATGACATATTATTGGTGATATATGTGTAAGCTAGGTAAAGTAATCCGATTTCACCAAGAGCATGCTTGGACAGAAATCGTGACATCTCTAAATCTCAAACGTGTTGATGCTAGCCAAGCACAGCAATATTTGATTCATTAACCCTAGAAGCCCTAAGGGGGGGGGGGGGTCAAAATGACTGAAATTTTCAGGGATGTTTCTACGTATCAAAGTTAAGAACTGATTCGTTTTTTGGCATTCTGGGTAAAATTTAAGGTGGCCATTTTGGATTTTCCGTCCTAAATTCTTCACTGTCACACTGCTGTGTTTTAGGTACGATATTGTTCACGTCTGTGCCTTGTTTATTAAAACAATATGTTTTCTTTCGAGTGAAGGTTGCCATACTGCACATGGACCTTTGACCAATCATAAAATAATGGTCTTGAAAAATCGAACATAAAAATTCGTTAAATATTTTGTCCTCATATTAATTACGTATTTGCAGTTCTAGTCTGCGCCAGCCTGTATTGAGTTAGAAGCACTATTAGCAATTACCTTCCTGGTGTATCCGTTAATTATAATTAGGTAGTTCCTTTACCAGAAGCTGAGACTAAATCCCCAACCATATACTATGCAAAGCTTACCTCTATAACACAATAGAGTCTTTCCTTACCTTCAGAAACTGCATCACTGGTGATCCGCTCGATTACGCTGGTTACCGAAACGGTTCGTTTCGGTAACAAAATGTCGGAACGTCGAAGGTACGCTTTTTCTTTTTTCCTTATTTCACACGTTGTAGGCAGAATTCCCAAGACGTTTATTCTCACAAACGTATATGTTTTAGAAAATGTACATGTTTGCGAAAAAGTAGCTCAGAAGACAACAGAATCGTCGAATTAATTCCCCACTTAAGTTACATATAAACGGTATGGGTTAAAAGTGCAGATCTTAACTGTTTTTCGAAGTACCGTTTCTGTAACTAAGTGAGGAATTTCCTAAACATATTTCAATGATACTGATACACATTTGTGATAAGAATGTCGTGGGAATTCTGCGTACAACGTGTGAAATAAGGAAAAAAGAAAAATCGTACCTTCGATGTTCTGACATTTTGGTAACCAAACGTAATCGAGTGGATCACCACTGTGCATGGGACTCATAAATCGCGGAAATCAGAGCCGTCGAAAAAATCGTATTGACCTTTTAATTGACATTGGAAATTTTAATTGTTCGCAGTGTGAGTACCTAAATTATGGAATATAAATGTCCATTGTGCAAATAATAATTGATGATTTATATATCTCAGATATATTAAACTAAAATGGCAATGGGCTTGTGTGAAAAAATATATATTAATTAATGCCGTACCTTTAATTGCACCAGTATACGTACATGCAATGTACGTGAACGTGATTTACATTCTTTAATCACGTGTTAAATTGTATCCATGATCGTATGTTGTCCAAACGTCCATTGCTTAATATCAGCACATTATTGTTATTATTTACAGGGAACGTGTCATTTGTTGGCATCGACGAGTCCTCCCGGTATTATGTTGAAACCATACTACTGAATACACATGGTGTCTTTGTGTCCAAAGTGTTACATTTATATACCTGCTGCATGAAGCGAAAAACATCTGTAAAACTTAACCATCGATTTGTTAAAAGTAAGATATATCCTTGACTTAAATGGAGGGATGACGTCATTTTGTACAAAGAAGGAAGTAATATTGCGTGAAGTACGAGCATTATCGAAAGATAAGCTCGCATGCATCAAATGTGTCACGTAACACATTCTAGTAGTACACTTGTCACATCTTTTTGTCTTTTATTGCAAGACTCAGATGAACTTGGGAAGGAAGTTTACTTTAAATACGCTACTAGATGTTGGGTGATGAATCTTGCCTTGTAATTAACGTGCGTTAATGTATTTAGTACTCGGTATGGCAATATATCAGTTGTCAACACAGAACATATAGTCCATTTGTCACTCCTATGCATCCTATAGTGAACCTATGAATTGTTAAAAACACGATGTTTTTGGTTAATTTTTGACGATAAGGGTTTCCTGAAGAGATTTAGCTGGGTTGGACAAAAATTTAGTTTGGGGAAAAAATAATATAGGCTAATTAGCGAAGCCGTTATTAAAATATTGATTGTTTTCTATATCCTGAAATGTAAAAATGAAAGCAGCATAATTAGTTTGTCTAAACTTGTGTTTTCAGGGTAAATGAATAAGATATTGTTAAAATATACAAGAATAACCTCAGGAATAACTTATTAGATGCATAATTGCAACTTTTAGCATATGTTACATGATTAAAATATCGCATGCGCATTTATTCAGATATTTTCTATATTAAGCTTGTAATACAATGAAAATAACTGACTAAATAACTAATTAAGGGCTTCTTTATTGATTTAATTGGGTTGCCAAAAATGACTTATTTCGGGAAAATTATATACCCTCTGTATCAAAAGTCTTTTCCTATTAAGGAAAACCTCAAATAACTTTTGTAAATGGCAAGTAAACTTAATGAAACTTTTCACACATACTTTAAGGCATATAATACTCACTATCCGGAAATTTTAAGACAATTGATTAATTTTTACACAAAATATTACATACAGAACATAGCATATACCAAAAACACCGATGTGAATTTTCCAAGTTTGTGACGTCAAACTTACTCAAGATTGCCAAACTGACCAAAGTCTGGCTGCTCTGTAAAACTAAGCGGACAAAGGTATTTATAATTTGTATATAAAATGCTAATTATGAGCAATCAGAATATGTTTAATTAATTATAGACTTAAGAAATATAGACCGAAGAGCATATATGCCTTAAATTATGTATGAAAAGTTTCATCTTGAAAAGTTTACTTGCCATTGACAAAAGTTATTTGAGGTTTTCCTAAATAGGAAAAGACTTTTGATACAGAGGGTATGCAAATTAGGGCAGCCATTATTGAAATATCTTACATAATTTAAAAAGTAATAATGATAGCATCACAATTGTTGTGCCCTTGCCCATGTTTTCAGGCTCAATGAATAAGATAATAAAAAAAGATATAACAAGAATTATTAATCATATTTTAATGTACTACATCAATTACATGTACTACAAAAATGTTTTCAGGGTCAGTCAGATATATGGTAATGTTAGAGATACAATGATAACTTTTTAGATATTGTGCATATATGCAAATTAGCATATTTATTATTGGTATTTCGCATCGCATTTATTCAAAATATTTTGTTTATCAAGCTTGCAGTACAAAGGAATGACTAATTGGTGGTTTCCTTAAATTCTCAGTATTTTAATTGGGTTGCCAATTATTGAATTTCTAACATATCTTAGAAAGGAAAATGATAGCCTGGGACCTGGAGACACATGTTTTCAGTTCAATGAATAACATAATGTTAAAATATACAAAAATAACTTATCAGATTATATGGTATGCATGTTTAGCATATTTAGAGATATCAACCGTTTTGTATGATGAAATTAGATGTGTGTCATCACCAATAGTGACAAATGAATTACTTCATTTATGTACTGGTGTTTAATGTATAGAAAAATATTATAACATGAAACAGATCCCTGAATCACACCATGAGTGAATGATGGAGTATGGTTGATTGAGACACTGTGTTCGTGTTCTTAGCTATTATACCATGTTACCACTATTCCAAAGTTGATTTCATCGTTTTTAATTCATCAATAAGCAAAATAGTATGGTCAGATGAGTCAAAATCGCTTTTATATAATGGACACCTTCATTTGCATATATAATTTTCCCCAAGGTTGCCTTTTGTCCAACCCAGCTAAATCACCTCATAAAACATCGTGTTTTTACAGATTCAAAGGTTCAGAAAATGACACATCGACTAATAGATATAACCCAAAACATACTTTAACACTCTCCCATGTATACCGTTCCGTATTAGTGAAATTGTTGACATTAATACGGAATAAATCATACCATTTCATGAAAAATGGTGACCTTGTCCTACGGAAATTGAGATTATGTTTCACAGCAAGTTCGCACGGCGATACTGTATAGCACATGCTCTGAAGAATTGATTCTACTTTCTATAGACACCAATCACATCTCTCTCAATGGAATAATAAAAAAGCCTTAGGGCCCCAACCTCCTTTGTTTACATTTACAAAAAAGTGAAAAAATGACAAAAGTTGTCATAACTTTTAAATCTAAATCTGTTGAAACCGATTTGACTTGCTAGCGACAGATACTTTAGTCTTTCACGAACCGAACATGTCAGTTTGGTTCGTTATATCTCCAAATAAACGATTTCAACATTTTGAAAAACTCGATGCTAGTCCACGTATTAATACGGAATGGGTGTTAAATCGTATTATACATTCCCGGGGAAATCACAATTTCCATAAAGCTTGCAATGATAATTGTTCTGATAGCTTATTGATAGACATTGGACAGTATCTTATTGCATGCAAATGGCACGTTAATCGACGGCGTCAACACGTCCGTCAATCGCAAGGATTGAATGTACATAAATAGAGTTCTCTTTTTCTTAGTATTTAAAGATA